ACTTACTCATGGAGCTGAGCCCTTCTGGAGGAGCCGCCAATTCTGCAGCTACTCAAGAATTTCCCAGCATTTTATGGAACGCGAAGGTTCATTACTGTGTTCACAAGAGCCCTCCACTGGTCCCTATCCTGAGCCAGATTTATCCAGTCCATACCATCCCATCCTATCTCTCTAAGATCCATTCTAATATTGTCCACCCACCTACGCCTCCCTCTTTCCTGTCGTCTCTTTCCTTCTGGCTTTCCCACCAATATCCTATACGCATTCCTCGTCTCCCCCATTCGTGCTACATGACCTGCCCACCTCATCCTCCTCGACTTGATCATTCTAATTATACTTGGAGAAGAGTACAAGTTATGAAGCTCCTCATTATGCAGTTTTCTCCAACCTCCTGTCACTTCATCTCTCTTCGGTCCAAATATTCTTCTCAACACCCTGTTATATATTGTCGCGTATCGGGCGTATATTGCGACAAATAACTTCTCGACGTATTTGATGTAGCGAATTTTATTTCACATTCGCTCTCACAATCACCCAAATTACAATCTAACGATTACTGCTATCTGCAGTATCACAATTAGTACACTGAAAAATGCCACAATACAACTGACTAGTTGCTGGCTAACTCGGCGGTAGCTCCAGGACTCACTGACTGACTCAGTACAACTGACTCGGCGACTGTTACAGTACAACTCAGTACAACTGAAGTCGCCGACTGCTACAGTAGAACTCGCTGGTAGCCACATTAGAACTGACTGGTAGCTGTTCTGCCGTCCACTTATATAGCCGCAGGATTGCCTGTTACGTTCCACGTCACAGTAGGAAGCAGTTCCGCGTCACCGCGTGATGTCACCGCGGAGGGGAGTGGCGGGGCGGGCTTCGTTACCGTGCGGAGGAGGGGGAGGGGAGCGCCGACCCACCCGCCGCGTCACTGCTGGTGTGTGGGGGCTCCGTTCCGCAACATGTTACACTGCTCCCTCCTTAAGGCTGTTCGTCCCGAATAGCCTAACNTACATCAAATACCTCGTGAAGTTGTTTGTCGCGTCATACGCCTGATACGCGACAACTGGTGTCAGAAGTGGGATTTGAACTTACACACGTGACCAACGAGCTTCGAACTCGAAACACGTTACATTGGTGTACATTGGAACTTCTACTGAAGAAAATCAGAGATAACAAAGAAGTGTTACGACCTTAAACACGCCACTAACAGAGTGATGTGCATCGAGTATTTTACTGCTACAACATGGACATGGAAAAGATGATGGAAATGTTGGCAAGAATTGACGCCAACGTGAAATCTAACCAAGTAAAAGCAGATGCCGACCTATTGCGGATGGAAGACAGAATGGAGGAAAGTAGGAGGAAAGACAAAGTAGATTTGATGGCCAAATTAGACTCCTATCAAGAAAAGGCGGAAGAAAATAATAAAAAAAAAGACAGAGAAGAATTCCTGGCGAAGTTAGAATTAAATGAAGAGGAAGCAAGTATCATGCTGGCAAAATTAGACGCCGACTTCAACGCCTGGCAGGAAGAGACTTTGGCTTGCCTAGTGGACACGAAACCTGCGGCACAACAAGAAGAGGTCCCCATAGTAATACCGGTCGGAGCGACGATGGCCTGCCTAGTAATGGAGGCACGTCAAGAAGAAGAAGATCTGGCCTCAGCGAACAGGAAACCTGAGGTGGCAGAATTACAAGAGGTACCCGTACAAGACGCCGAAGTAATGCCGGTCGGAGAACCGAAGAAGAAAAGGCGCAGGGACCGACATCGACGAAACATGAAGAATCCGACGCGGGGAAGTCGTGGACCCCAGATGAAGTTGGCCGTCGTCCACAGGAAGGTGTCCCGCCGCGCAACAGTGGCATGGCGCAAACGCCGTATCTTCAAGAAATCTACGACCCAAGGAAATTGTGGCCCATGGCACGAATTGGCTGCCGACAGCAATGTGACTAGTCGTGCAGGTGCGACACGGCGCAAGGGAGATCCCGTAAGGAGATGCTCAACGAGGGTCAATGCTGGGCAAGAAGCCGGGAAAGGAAGGACTGGAACCGTGACAGGACAGACGTCCGGGAGGCGGCGTCAGCCACAACGGAAATGCAGCAAGGGCATAAGGAAACAGGACGTGGAGGAACTACTACGCCTGAGGGAGAAGACCGGCAACGTGATCTTCAGTGGAAGGTTCGCGACACAAGTAGTCGGTACTGCCAACGGGTTACGGAGGATAAGGAAGTGGACCTTATGGAGGGGTCGACCCCCTCCAAAACGAAAAAAGGAGCAGGGCACAGAAGAGGAGCCGGTAAAATAGAAGAACCGGCCTCCCCATTGAGAGTGAATGTGCCATGTGAGAAAGCGATGGATGAATGTGATCTTCTGGCGAGCTGAAAGGAAACCGCTCGAGACGAGCTTTGTCTAAAGAGGGGAGCAGATGTAACGGATGAAGAATAGTCGCTGCAAGAACAGTAGCCGAAACAACGGGAGACACCGCAAGCACAGCCACGAGGAAAAGGAACGGGGATGCACCGTTAGGCTATTCGGGACGAACAGCCTTAAGGAGGGAGCAGTGTGACATGTTGACCCCTACCCCCCCAGCAGTGACGCGGCGGGTGAGTCAGCGCTCCCCTCCCCCTCCTCCGCACGGTAACGTAGTGGTGACGTCACCGAGGGATATCGCGGTTGCTAGGCAACAGTCAACAACTCTGGACAGCGTGGCTAGCAACAAGGCACCAGACGACAATTGTCCGATCAAGGCTACATAAGGAGCAGCGAAGGCTATTCACAGTCAGTTAGTCCTGGAGCTACCTACGAGCGAGTCCTGGAGCTACCGCTGAGTGAGTCCTCGAGCTACCTCCAAGTTAGTTCCGAGTTAGCCAGCAACTAGTCAGTTGTCTTGTGGCATATGGAGTGTACTATTTGTGATACTGCAGATAGCAGTAATCGTAAATCTGTAATTTGGGTGACTGTAAGTGCGAATGTGAAATAAAATTCGCTACATCAAATACCTCGTGAAGTTGTTTGTCGCGTCATACGCCCGATACGCGACAATATATATATATATATATAATGTCTTGTAGACTCATTGTCAAGTAACAGCTGTGTAAACAGGTGACAGTATGACATCCATTGCTAGGGAACAGCTCTGTGGAGAAGTTTCTCCCGCAACGAGAAAACACACTATAATGGAAGAGACATTTTCTATGCAGTCTGTGGCAGGTATATGTATAAAACAAGGACTAGTAGTCAGTTGCGAGTTGTGGTTGTGAGAAGTGGGATGCCAGTAGCTGAGGCCGGGAACAGTTCTGGAACCCAGAGACGACTTAATGTGTTGTGTAGTTACAGTGAACTTTGGCCTGAGACTGCTGTAGTTATCTGTAGTTATGTTCAGTAGGTGTCAGATATTTCAAATTACTAATCTAAGCCTCAGCTATAATCACACTTATCACGTGACAGTATCAACACACATACATTTATCTCCATTCCTGAAAATTAGGTGATCTTCAATTTGTGGATTAAACTGAACATAAAGAGAACATCACATTCACAGTCAGACATGAGCCACAGTTTTTGATTCCCTGCTATGAATCCTGGGTGACTTCATGTGAGATTTGTGGTGGGTGAAGCATGGCTGGCACTGAAGCAGTTTCTTCAGTTTTCCCCTGTGAATGGTCATTGCACCATGGTTGCATACTCATTTGTGAGCACTCCCTTAGCTATGTGGTAACCCCAGTCCATCTCTGACTCAGCACTCGACTGGTTACAGAGTGAGGAATTTAGTTAGCGAATAATAATACTAACAACAACAGCAGCAGCAACGACAACAAATAATCCGTGTTCTAAAATGTGTGTTGTCACTGTTTCTTGCAGGGGGACCATGGGCACCATTTGAAAACAACTGGCATCTGAAAGAGGACTACAAGAAAGTCAGCAGACGGAAAGATTTAGCTGAGCTTTTATCGAAACACATATTGTGGGTTGGAATTGCAAATTTTGTGTTGTGCCCTCTCATTTTGCTATGGCAGATACTGTATTCCTTCTTCAATTATGCTGAGGTTGGTACTTTGATGCTGTTGCTTTTCCAAGATTATGATTCAGAATGGATTCTTAAAAGGTGCTTGTTTCTATCACACGTCCTTTACTCCAGTGGGAAAGGCAAACAACTTCTAACTTGTTTTGCTGTAGGAATTCCACTCTGGCTGATGTTTCCTGGTGTAGTATATAATGTAACAACTGTTTGAAGGGTTTCTTTCCTTTGACAATCAATTTGAATGATCCCAAACCAACAGTCTCAGTTCTAGAAATTAATGGTTTTCCTCAGCACAGTGTCCACATCCACTCACCGCTCCTGAAAGAAACAAACCTTAAATGCGAGTTCCACTGCATATGTATTTTTTAACACTGTCTTCAAAGGCCCTGTAAATGTTGTTTGCAGGTTATAAAGCGGGAACCAGGCAGCTTGGGGTCACGCTGCTGGTCCCTTTATGGCAGACTATATCTTCGTCATTTCAATGAGTTGGATCATGAGTTGAATGCGCGTCTGAACCGTGCATATAGACCGGCGTCAAAGTATATGAACATTTTCACCTCTCCTCTGATGACCATTATAGCACAGTAAGTACTTGTGTGGTAAGCGTGCTAAAACAATTGGTAGATGATGATTCTTTACAGTGGCTGTCATGCAATATGCTTCATCCTCTTCTCAAGCTCTTTCATTGTGGAACTCAGAATGCCCAGTTACAGCAATCCAGCTCAGTATAGTAGTAGTGGACAGACAGACAGACAGAGAGATAGACAGGATAATGGTCACACATGCTTTGTTACAAAATACTTGAATGGTATTTTAGATCTCAGGTTGTGTTGGTAATATAGCTAAAACAGTGTAGCCGTTGCTGATGAAGTTGACACATCATTGCTTGTGCTCCTGAAATGCAGTTGTGTTTGCTGTTCATGTGAACCACACTTTACTTACTCTGCTCATTAACTGCCTGTTGTTTGTTACTAAGCCCAAGAGTATGTCAGTGTGATCATGAGAGCCCACCATTGGGTCATCTTGTGACCTTTCTTGTTCAGTCCAGTTTTAATAATATCCTTCCATCTATGCCTGTTTTCCCCATGTTGCTGGCTGTCTCAAGTTTTGCGTCATGATGTATTTCTTATGTCCCCATGCATTCTATATTGTCCTATCCATCTTGTTCTTTCTTGATTTGATCACCCTAATGATATCTGGTGAAGGGTGCAAATTGTGGCGCTTCTCTTTATTCATTTCTTTTTTCAGCTGTCTTTCATTTCCTCCTCCCCTTAGTTCCAAATATTCCCCTTGGCACTGTGCACAGACTCTCATGTGTTCTTCCCATAGGATGAGAGACCAAGTTTCACACCCATACAAAAGATGCGATGATTGGGTTATGATTTTGTATATTTTAATCTGGGTTTTTTTGTTAGAGGAGAACAGAGGTTCATATTGCATGACATACCCTGAGTTTTGATGTTCATTTTATTGTGGGGCTGCATGTCTTGTGTTGCAGAAATGTGGCGTTTGTGGCTGGTGCGTGTCTTGCTGTGTTGCTGATCCTTTCCGTGTATGATGAGGATGTTATAACAGTTGAACATGTACTGACAGCCATCACAGTTCTGGGAGCAGTTGTCGCTGGAAGCAGGTGATGTAACATTGGTAGTGTTGTTCTGACAATGGCTGAACTAAAGTAAGCAGCCACGTACAGGCTGAGTGGCTTCGACTGGATTTCTAGCAAGTACAGAGATTGTTCGCTCTTTTCCCTGTGTTGTCTAGAGTGCTCTTGTGGTCTGGTGAGCTTCCCATCCAACCTGGCAATATTTTTCTAGGTTGAAGATGTCTGGGAATGTTTGGCATGGTGCTTATGCACAAATGAAACTTTAGCTAGAATGAAGATTAAGAAACAGCCTGGTTTTGTTGTCTGTTGTAATCAGTTCTGTATGATTCTGTCAAGTGTGTCAGACATAGCGAGTTTAAAAGACAGAACAATGTTTCCTTGTTTGAGGTTCAGAGCAGAGTGTTTTAGCCAGCAAGAGACAATGGTCTGAATGTGTTCCATGTTTGTGCTTTGCAACAGAGTCTTCATACCAGATGAGAACTTGGTGTGGTGTCCTGAGAAGCTGCTCACTGCTGTACTGGCTCACGCCCACTATCTGCCTGACAGTTACCGAGGACAGGCACATACAAACCGAGTGCGTGAGGAGTTCTCCCAACTCTTCCATTACAAAGCGGTAAGTTCTCAGTTGCCTAGCACCCAGCTGTACCACACACTCCTCACCACCATATCTTTACAGAGATCACCAGTACCTCAGAATCAAAACACAATCCTGATGAATCAATTAGACCATCTGTTCTGAAACTCACATTTAAGGTTTCTTTCGTGAGCAGTGGATTTGATTATAATAATAAACTGAGGAAAATTTTCAATGCAGGAAATTTAACACTGAGAGTATTTGACTTGGGAGCATTAAAAATTTTATTCCAAATATGGGAAAAACTTAAATTGCAGGCAATATGGAGGGGGGGGGGCACCATACAAATATTTACATGTATAAATGTCCATGTGTCTAAGCACAAGGCCGTGAAGGTGTATATTGGGACCCTGACCTGACACATTTTAGGTAGAGGTGTTTTGGCTTCATGATTCAGCTGGCTTTATCCCTGTTATCTATTGTGCAGAAGGCTGGATGTCCAGATGGAGATAAAATGTATGCTGCTATTTACAGTTAAGTGTTGGTGGTTGAGCCTGTGGTCTGTTGCTCTAGTGTTGTGAATGCAGTAACACAACTGGAGTGGGGCTGCGCCATAGCTCAAGTGGTTAGTCGCCGACTTACCACCGTGGTGGTCCAGGTTTGATCCCAGGTCTGGTCAAGTGAGATCTATGGTGGACAAAGTGGCACTGGGGCAGGTTTTCTCCAAGTTCTTTGGTTTCCCCTGCCAGTCTTCATTCCACCAATTGCTCCACAATCACCCTCACCTATCAACTGGCACTGATACAATAGGCCAGAAGTGGCTGCAATATAAGGGACTTAGTCTCACCCCACTAGCAATAAAAAAACACCGCTGGAGTAATGGTAAATTTTCTTGGCAGATGGGGGGGGGGTTCAGTGACAGGCTTTTGTGGGCATAGTAATGAACCTTGGTTTCTGTAAAATGAGCTCTGCATTGTCAGCTTCTCAAGAGGCACCCTCACTGCTGAGTGTTAGTGATTCCATTGGAAAGAAATTAATATATATTGTCACTGTTCCACAAATTTTGTGTTGTGAGCCTGTTATCGGCGTGATAGAACATGATTTTTCCACCACTGAAGACATCTTCAAATGTCATCCTGCCACCAAGCAGATTTGGTTGGTGTAGTGGTGACACTGTAGTATTTTGGAGATGGCTTGGTTCAAATCTTGACAGGGACACAGATATCCTGACAGAAGTTTTTTTACGAGTGTTTTTGTGCAGTCCCCCAGTTGGGCCATGACCACTTCCTTCCAGATCCTTTGCAGTTCATGTCATCCTACCATTCAGTGCTCCAGTTGGTCACTTTCTCTTGAGCCATATTTGTGTGGCAGCAAGCCCCTGATGTTGCAGTGTGGGTACAGTGTACCATGTTATGTCATCCTTCACTTGTAAATGTAGGTAACACATTCTGTGGCGTGAGAAGGAACGCAAGAGAACGAACGGTATCCGTTTGTTGAAAAATAACGATACAAGCACGCGCTTCATAATGTCTTGGATGTGGTATGGCTGGTAACATCTTGGAGACGCGTTATTGACAGCGAGCTAGGGATTTAAATTATTAATTCCAAAAACATGACTGTAGTAATTATTATGGGATATGCTGTCAACTTCATACAAAGTTTTATCCAATATCCTTCTCTCAGGGTTAAATATACGAAGTGTGTTCAGGAAATAACGGGAATTTTAAAATTTCGCGGGTTTGGAGAGTCCAATTGTCAAAATTTTTTTTTTATTATGTTGGTATACATGCCCCTGAAGTACAATAAAATTTTCAGCTGTATTCATTGCTTACTTTGTCTGTGGCAGCCGCTAAGGTTAGACGTGTTTTTATGAGCTTGGCGATTTTCGTTTGTTAAAAGAAATGGATCAAAGAATTTGTATCAAATTTTGCGTAAAAAATGAAATAAAGTGTTACAAAGTGTGTGAAATGTTAACAAAGGCCTATGGTGAGTCTGTTATGAGTAAAACAAGAGTTTACGAGTGGTATAAGCGTTTCCAAGATGGCCGTGAAGACGTTGCAGATGACGAGCGCCCCGGACGCCCCAGCACATCAACAACCGATGAAAACGTGGAAAAAGTGAAAGCAATGATTATGAATGATCGCCGAATCACAATCAGAGAAGTCGCTGATGATGTTGGCATATCGATTGGCTCATGCCATGAAATTTTTTCGAATGTTTTGGGTATGAAACGCGTGGCAGCAAAATTTGTTCCAAAATTGCTGAATTTTGAACAAAAACAGCGGCGAATGGAAGTTGCTCAGGAATCACTAAAGGAAGTCAACGATGATGCAGAATTACTGAAACGTGTTATAACAGGTGACGAAACATGGGTTTACGGATATGACGTTGAAACTAAGGCTCAATCGTCTCAGTGGAAGCATCCTGGATCGCCAAGACCGAAAAAGGCTCGACAAGTGCGTTCGAACGTGAAGGTTATGCTTACTGTGTTCTTCAATTTTAATGGCATAGTGCATCATGAATTCTTGCCTCAAGGTCAAACGGTCAATAAGGAGTACTACCTGAAAGTTCAACGCCGTTTGCGTGAGGCAATCCGAAAAAAACGCCCGGATTTGTGGAAAAACAATTCATGGCTTTTGCACCACGATAATGCACCTGCTCACACTTCGTTGCTTGTTCGTGAATTCTTGGCCAAAAACAATACTGTAACGATGCCCCAGCCTCCATATTCGCCAGACATGGCTCCGTGTGACTTTTTCCTATTTCCAAAAATAAAGAGAACCTTAAAGGGCCGTCGTTTTACAAGCATAGATGACATTAAAAGCGCATCGCTGAAAGAGCTAAAGGCTATCCCAAAAATCGAGTTTGAGAAGTGTTTCGATGATTGGAAGAAGCGCTGGCATAAGTGCATAATATCGAATGGGGACTATTTTGAAGGCGACAACATTAATGTAGACGAATGAATAAATATTTTTTCCAAAATACGGAAATTCCCGTCATTTTTTGAACACACCACGTATAGATGAAACTATTTGGGGATCATCAGTGTGGATTTCAATGTAACTGATCAACTAATGATCAGACTTTGCATTCATCAAATACTGGAGAAAAAATGAGAGTACAATAGGACAGTACATCAGCTATTCATAGACTCTAAGAAAGCCTATGATTCGGTTAGGAAGGAAGTATTGTACAATATTCTCATTTAGTTTGGGGCTATGCATTGAACTAGTTAGGCTGACTAAATGAAACTTATAATAAATTTCGTATCGGTAAAGATTTGTCTGATAAGTTTCCAATCAAAAGTGGTCTAAAACAGGGAGGTGCTTTATTGCCATGTCTTGGACACATCAGCTGCTCTTATTTGACACTGTGAAGGAGGTTGGTCTAAAAGCACAGCACAGAGAAAACTAAGCACATGTTGCTGTCTCATCACCAGAATTTAGGGCAAAATCATAACATAAAGATAGCTAACAGATGTTTTGAAAATGTGGCACAGATATTTGGGGATAACTGTAACAAATCGAAACTTGATTCAGGAGGAAATTAAATTTTGGCAGTGCTTGCTACCATTCAGTCCAGAACCTTTTTGTCTTCTTGTTTGCTTTCTATAGACATACAAAATTATAATTTTGCTTGTGGTTCTCAGTATGGGTGTGAAACTTGGCCGCTGACATTAAGGGTGGAACATAGACTGAGGGTGTTTGAAAACAGTGCCGAGGAGAATATTTGAACCACAGAGAGATGAAGTGACAGGAGGTTGGAGAAAACTGGATAACGAGGAACTTAATTACTTGTACTCTTCACTAAGTATAATTAGAATGATCAAAGGAGGATGAGGTGGGCAGGGAATGTAGCACGAATGGTGGAGAAAAGGAATGCATATAGGATATTGATGGGAAAGCAAGAAGGTAAGGGGTCACTGGGAAGACCAAGGCATATGTGGGAGGATGATATTAAAATGGATCTTAGAAAGATAGGATGGGGTAGTATGGACTGAATTGATCTGGCTCAGGATGGGGACCAGTGAACATGGTAATGGACCTTCAGGCTCCATAAAATGCTAGAAAGTTCTTGAGTAGCTAGCTTAACAATTGGTGGCTTTTCAAGAAGGGCTCAGCTCCATGAAGTTGCTTAAAATGTAACATGGGAATTGAGATCTGTTCTTGCCTGTGTCTGCAGGTTTACCTCCTGGAGGAACTGCTGTCTCCAGTGGTGACACCCTTCATCCTCTGCTTCCACTTACGCTCAAAATCTCTGGATATCGTCGATTTCTACCGTAACTTCACGGTAGAAGTGGTGGGAGTTGGGGACGTCTGTTCGTTTGCACAAATGGATGTCCGTCGTCATGGCAACCCGGCTTGGCAGACCAGTGTGACCTCTCCTGTGAAACCTCAGCCCTCTGGTCCAGGTGATGCAATAAAAGCTGGCATGCACACTGTTGCCAACCAGTACACACAGGTAAAATACATACCCCTACTGTATATACACTACAGCAATTGAAACATTTGTTTCATTATATTGTGTGTCTGTTGCGTAAAATGCAGTGTATAGTTGGTTGAGGCACCCTGCTATGATCCGGAAGGTCATGGGTTCAGTTCCAAAAGGAGTCACTGAATTTTTCAATTGACGTAATACTTCCAGCTGCACCATGTACCCTAGGGTCAACTCAGTCTCTAAGAAAAATGAGTACTAGGAATCTTCCTGGGGTTAAAGGGCAGCTGGCACATAAGGCTAAAAGTTCACCGTCATCTGTTTGCTGATTGTCTAGAAAATGTGCAAGCCTTGATATCTCGCAACTGTATGGGCCTCCATGGCCTGTCACAGGGATAATTTTACCTTTTTTTATGTTAGCTGAAGAGAGGGATGTGAGGAAAAGCGAGGAGGATTAGAATCAGGAGTTAAGTGTGAGTTCATAATTTAATATAATCAGAAGAGAGACAACAAGTATGCTGAGAAGGGTTTAAAGCATAAAATCTGAAGGGTACAGATCAATATCGAGATATTGAGGCTCTCACAGCCACCCATACTGCTTACATCTTCAGGGTTCCATAGTAATATTGCTGCCAGCTTGCTCATTTCGTACTTGGCTTACTCTTTGACCATGAAGATGCAGGCAGTATTCTCCTCTGAAACATCAGTGAATTGTGACCAGACTACATAGCATTACCTCCCAGAAGATGGGTTTCTCTATGACAGGGCAGTTCTGCACATGTAGGTAGGTGAGAGAAAAAGAGATGGCAGCAAGTTTGATAAAACCAAGGTTTTGGGGATACACTCCATGGGATGATGGAAACTTTTTGTCCATTGACCTGTATGGAATGGGAATGATGCTGGAAGAAGGAGAAGACTGAGAAATATATGTAAGAAGGAAGGGCAGAAGTTTCTAAGTCACTGAAATATTAGATTCCCCTTACATATAGGCTGCACCAAAGTGTGATAAGGTAAGGTAAGGTTAATGCTGTGCCTGTGCTTAACTAATTAAGCACTATGCTATGAAGACATATGGAGGAGTGAAAGTATGTATAGCTCCATCATTCTTGATCTCAGCACTAGATGGACATGAGTGGTCAGTCGTCTTCGCACTGTGGCCACTTTACTTCCAGGAAAAGAGCCCCTGGCACCCATTAAAAAGGAGTTAGGGTGGGTCTCAGAGTTGGGGCTGGATGCTGTGGAGAAGTGAAAACTCTTTGTCCCCTGCCGGGAATTGAACCTCATTTCCTTGGTTGCCCGGGAGCTTTGTACAATTTGTGGTCCAGGCATTTGTAGCTCAAATGTGTACAGAAATGCATAAATGAGAGATATACACTTTCAAATCTACATCTGTAGTCCCCTAATTTCTGCATCTTTGTTGAGAAAGGAATAGGGCCTGTACTATATGTTATACATAAGGGATGTAGCACTGTTTGTACAATAAAACAATACTCACTGTGGCAGGTGATTCATTTCATTTACCATACCACTGTGATTTCCAGCTATATAAGTGCTTACTGATATATGTACATCCATGAATTTTCCAGCACGGAGCTGAATTAGTAACTGTGTTTCTTTTTTGTACTCCTCTGGCCTGAGATCTATGTTGGATAGGATTGGCATTGTAGAACTGCTGCATGAAACATGTGCTTTCAGGCAGAGGATGGGAAGACTGAACTCTCACTGGTTCATTTTACACTGACAAATCCTGAGTGGCAGCCGCCCACAGATGCAGAAGATTTTGTCACAGCCCTTCGGACACAGGCAAGAAGAGACGCGAATCAGTTACTGAGCACTGCAGGTGTTGGTGCTGTGAATCCACTGTACTCGTCACTGCATTCAGTATCATCCCTTGGCGCTGGGGTATGTCTGCTACCTGTTTGCAGTGCTGAATGTGCATGTTCTCTGTTCTGTCCTCATTTTTAACCAAAATAGTGTTATGGAAAAAAGTATATTAGCTGTAAAATTTTAATGTTTTATTTTTCTCTACAACTTTTATTTAAAACATTTTGCTCCTGTTTCAAATATTCAATGAGCTTCACTCGCGATGGATATAGAAACATGTGTAGGTCACCATGTAAAGTTATATTGCATTAATCAAAGCTGGAATGTGTCTATAGATTTTAGGAAATCCCCACACTATAAAATTTAAGGAAGATCCAGTCACAGTTTTTTAGCTGTTTTATGGGGACAGACACATTTTCAGGCTTAAGTTGTGAACATAACAAAATGGCCATTTCATTCCACATCATTCATAATGCCTCCGTGATAGTTTCTTAGACACTGTATAACTTCAGCAGTTGATATGGGATCATGTGGTGATTGTATTTGCAGTTCAGCAGTCTTGTGGCAAGCATATTCCGAGGAAACACGGCGGCCATGGCGGCGGGTGGGCTGATGGATTCGTCTGTTGGGATGATGCCGCTGTTTTCTGCTGGTGCAGTACAAAGTAACTTGGGTTCTGGAGAGAGAGCCCCTGGTCTATGTGAACCCATGGTACCTGCACCTACTGTACGTGGTGGACTGAGTCGTGCCGAAGGACCCATTCACTCGTCAGAAAGAGGGTTGCTGTACAGGTAACATTTGGGTGCTGCTAGGCAACATAAGGCTTCGCAATGTCCCCATTACAAAAAAACAGGCAGCTGACACGGTTTAGGTTGGTAATCATTGTTAATAGGAGAATCATATGAAATGCACAGATACACTGTGCTAGAAAAAAAGGCAGGGCTTTTGAATTGTAATGTACGTAGGTGGTAGATAGATAGATAGATATCACTGTGTTTAGAGGATCAGACAGTAAGTTGTGTTTATGATACACAAGGAACTGAGAGAGTTGGCTGCAACTGGGCAGGTTGAGTAGGGTTGACAAAAAAATGCATTAAGATTTTTTGTCAGGAATTTTGTTAACAGGTTGTTTTGAACAGTATCTGTCAGCCAGTGGATCATGATCAGCTGTTTCATAACTTAGTGTGTGTCAGTCTGAAAATTCTAATTTATATATTATGCAGTTTTTGCTACTGGTGGATAAATAATTACTTTACAAGAATGTACTTCCCTTGTTTTTCATTCACTCATTGTGACTAAATGGTTTGTCTTGAGCACTGCTATATTTTTCATGTGGAGCTCTTGCTAGATGAGTGCATTAAAAACGAATGCTTTCCCTTCTCTTACATGCCAATGGGAAGTTTCTGACAGTTGAATTGTTTTTCTTTTATAGTTTTTAATTTTTAATGTTCATTGTGGGCTCTTTATCTCTCATCACCATATAGAGATGTGGATGGTTTGCACTGTCAGTAAACACATTTATACATGTCAGCAATAATTGTACAGTAAACCATTGCTAATATGATTATAGTTTATCCAGATTGAGATATGAAAAATGCTGTACAGTTGAGTACATACTTTAAAAAGATGCATGGCATGTAGGAAGGCAGATGAGTCACTTGTCTGTTCAGACAAACCTTGAAAAGTTTCTTCATACCTGCATTATTATGTTCAAAAACAAGTACAACTTCTGAATCTTCTATCAATGAATATGTGTATTGGCTTTTTATATGCAGTCTTTATATAAGGCTTTACAGCGATATATTTTATTTTCATCAGCACACTTGTGTCATTTAATTTTAGTTTTGGGCTACCTTTTGCTTCACTAATCTGGATTATCACATAATTTGGATGCCACCCCCCAATTACCCTGTATTAGTCAGTGTTTACTGTACTTGTAGTGTACAGACAGGTAGATCAGACCTCAATAATAAGAGAGTTCTTCCTAGCAGGGCCTTCACTGAAAGTTTATTTTTAAGAAATAAAATTGTTTATCAAGCTGTGGCCTTCAGTAGTACCCTGCCACCACCTCCTGCCAGATTATACTGAGCCATGTGCCTTCATTGGTTCGAAAAATCCATCAGTACACGTTAGCGGAGCTACACTTGTGCATAGCGAGAGAACTTTGTAACTTTCCGCAAGTGAGTGAGTGTAAATGCTGGCTGGTCTGAGTCAGTTCCATCTGGCTGATGTTGGAGGGTGAGATGAAATGCTGCCAGTTCTGTTGTAGCATAGAATTTCTGTCAGTACGGATGCATGCACACAGACACAGAACATGAAGTCTTAGCTTAGAAGCTAAAGTTTGATTGCTCTCCCATTAAGCAACATGGACCAATGGGCAGAGTTTCCAGCCCTGTGTTACTCTTGAAGAAAGTAAGAACATATACCTAGAATATAAATTCTAATTTGAATATTGATGGCATAAGGTCATGCAGACATAGATGGGAAGATAATATTGAAATGGATCCCAAAGAGGATATGAGGAACTGAACTGGATTCATGTGGCTCAGGTTAGGGGACCAGTGGCAGGTTCTGGCAAATACAGGGGTAAATAATGAATCTTCAGGTTCCATAAAATGTGTGGTATTTTGAGCCATCTGTTTGCTTCTCAAGAGAGGCTCAGCCATGTGGAGTTAGTTATTGTGGTTTTCTGTTTAGTTTGCAGCAGGGGTTGCCCTCAAGCTCTTTAGCAGCCTCTGTATTTGCTCCTGTGCCAGACATGGCTCCAGAGACGGATCCCCTGGAATTCACTGCGGCAGACATGAGTCTGAGCACCCTGTACCTGCATGAGCTGCACCATCGACAGGTAAGTGGAAAGTCCTAATGCCTCTGGATTATGCTTGGCCAACAGCCAAGCTCAATGGGGCCTAATATTACCCACATCTGCAAAGATTTGATTTTACTGTGTGACATATGGGTAAATCGTGCAGAAAGGTCCTGTTGACCTGGGAGTCTGTAATGTGTATAGGCTATGTAGTTTGATTTCAAGTGGTGGTCTTGTTTGCTGTTGACTGTGAGTGTTTGCATTATTTATCAGGTGCGGCGTAGAGGGTATCAGGAATCCAGTCTCAACCGGTCTGCATGGCAGAGGCCCCACCAAGATATGCCTGGCATCAGGGAGCTTGGTGATGAATCAGGGGAGTTGACACGACATGCAGAGAGGACTCCACTACTGGACACAGCCACAAAACCTACAAGGACTTCATAGCGGGTAGCATGGTGATGACAGAGGAGGATGCTGGCACAGCTCGTCAAGATACAGTGTTGCTTGTTGAGCAGAATCAAGGTCTGACGAGTTTCTGGTCAACATGGCGGTCATTTGCCATCAGTTGTGCTTGATGATTAAACGCCAATCAAATTATTTTCATAGGGATTACCATACTTCCTTGCATATTTTTTTGTACTGTCAAATTTCGAACAATGGAGTAATGTTTTAGAACTAGTTTAGAATGTAATTAAAAAATGTATCCATGATATCAAAGCCAGTAAAAAATCAACGACTTCGAGCTGTACACCTGGAGCTCAAATAAGAGTGGCACCATGGCTGTGGGGTGCACAGTCATCACTTTTACAGGCAAAATGTTAAGGAAAAGAGTAAGAGTTCAGGCTACTTAGGAAATCACTTGTGATGTCAGACTGCCAGCAGAAAGTTCTCATTTCATTTGCAGTGTTCCGCATAAACTGATTGAGCTGACGATAATTCTTGCTTATAATGAATTTCTTGTTAAGCTAGACTCATTCTGCTGCAGTTACCTTGTAAATAAATATGTTGCTAACAGGTGGCAGAAGCAGTTCTGCCTGTGACACACTGAATGTCCAAAACCAGGCAGACATTTCCAAAACACTGCAGTAGGCACGGCTCTGGAAGCAGGACTTGCAGAACCATCATTCTCTCAAGCCTAGTAGCATGCTTGACAGGAGGCATTCAGATTTTCACCATGGAATGTTGAATGTGAAGACATGTTAGCTGAAAAGAACAATTTAAATTATCTTTCTGCACCTTTAGCAGACGAGCTATCCTGACTGTGGTGTTTCATATTTTTTCTCAGTCCCTCCAGGCAAACTGCCAGGGTAGAAGTACCTTTGATTAAGCTGTGACTGTTTCTTTCCACATTATGTTGAACTTGTCATTGTTTTTCCTACCATCTGATGCTACAGTCTGAGGTACTGAATATGTTGTTAAACAGAAAACATTTACTTGTTAAGGTAGGTGGGTGAAACCCATGGCAGTCTCTTGCTGGGAAGTGTGGTAATAATTCCTCAACAGATGGGAATTGGTGGTACATCTCTATTTACACAGTGTCCATATGAAAAATAATGCTTCCTTATTGTCCTGGCAGTGCTTGTCTGTACCTGTGTGTGTCCTAGGTGCAGACCAGTTGTATGGGTCTTGTGATGCTGTCACCGAGACGCTCAGTATTTGTGCGCAGTGTATAGCCATGGGATACCAGTGGCAGGGACAGCAGTCAGTGTAGTGATTAGTGTACAGGGTTTGATATCCAAATGGGCCCTCTGAGCCTCCAGTCCAAAGTTATAAGGGGGCATAGCCTCTGTTGTCTCTTGATGCTGTTAAACTCAAATTTACCTGTTGAGTTTGAGGTTGGGTTTTAATGAAGCTTCATCCACATGTAAACTCTGCTCCAGTTGTTTCTCCTCCTCCTCCTCCGACACTACACTGTCATGGTTTGCCTTATGTGCAGTAACAACTTCAACTTCTTCCTTTTCCTTTGCCTTTAATTCTGTCTCTAGAGCTTGAAATTTACTGCCACCCTCCACATTCTTTTCTTCCTTCAAGTCTATTGTTTGCTGCTTCAGATCCTGAATTTCTTTCTCTCCATCTTTATCTTCTGTCTGATGACATGAACATTCCTGTGAACATCTTCAAGCCTTTCTTTAGTCTTTCTTCTAATCTCCTGCGCAGAGTAGTACTACCATGCTATATGAAATCTGGCAAGATGTTCCAGTTGCAGTTCTCGTTGCACTTTCTGGTATTCTAGATACTGCGTTCGTTCATCACGCAATTTCTGCAGTTTTGGACTAATTTATTCATTTCATGCATTTAAGTCATTCAATTTTGCATCCTTTTTCTCAATTGTCTTCTGGGCTTGTTGTTTCTTACATTCATACATTCTAATACCTGTGTACTTCAGAGGAACATATCACCTCCATTTTCAGTGGTGATGGATAACTTAGCTTGCTGCAAGCTTTTGCTCATTTCTTGCTTGGCTTACTGTTCGACCTGAAGAAGGACAAGGCATTATGTTCCTGGAATTACGCAGTGTTACAACCAAGATGACTGTACCCGCCATATTTACATTACTGGGATGTGTGTGTTTTACTGGGTTTCTGAACTTTGTTCGTTGTCTGGTATTCTGAGCAGAATTGTTTCGGAAACTTGGTGTGTTTCCATCGTCATCATCAGAACCCTTTACAGTTGACCTGTGTTTTCTGCTTACATTTGACACAATTTTCTTATGGTCTAACAGAAAAAGGTACCGATTGCAGTATCTTTGGCACAGCAGCGACACTGTCATTAGCAGTCTGTAATACACTTTTGCTTAAACATTTGCAAAAAAAAATAGTTACCTTTGAACAGCATACTTGTTAGTTTCAACTGAAAAGGCACTGCTGCAGATGATGTAGAAATGGGAACTTAATAGAAGACATATGTAAATTTTATTTATTTATTTATATTTTTATGGTATATTTAGCAATGCTGTCAGCAGCTGAGACTCTGTGGTGTTAAGAACTTCCGTAAAATTTTGTTTAGCCACTGGTGGAATTACGAGTCTCTGTATATTGCTGTGACTGACTTCACCTTGCGTCATGACTGCATGCTTGAGGCAGTTGTACAAGTGCATGCAGCCAGTAGTCACCACACTCTGGAGATGTCTTTGACATCTCATCTGTGTTGATAAAGTGCAATAATGCATCTATGCAGTGAACATAATAAGGTGTCTGTAAATGTAAGTAATGTCATGTCAGTGGCAATTAGCAGTGGGGCTTTCCTGATATTCATTTGAAACACCGATAATATTGTGATATCATGTGCAATGTACAGCTGTCCTTTATAATGAATCATATGCACTTAGTGTGGATCTCCGATTTGTGTGATCAGAAATATTTGTAGTATGCAAGGTACTGTCCTTGTCCTTTAGTCCTGGCCACTCTGATCAGAATGTGCAGTAGCACTGGTCAAGCCAGTAGATGAGATAAGGACTGTAGGGTGTGTGTGTATTATAACAGGGCTTTGGTTACAGTGTCACCCTTCCTTCCTCCCTCTCTCCCACAGTGCAGCAGTAGTTTGCCCCTTAGACCAGGGCTAAAAGCATGGCCTGTACTGTATGATCAGCGTGTCTCAGTGGGTTGGTGTGGGAGATGAAAAGACGTACTGCTTTGTGTCCTCGTTCACCAGGCTTCATGCAAATGGGGCTCTTTCCAGTGGTGATTATTGACTGTGAATGTGTTATAGCCTTTCTCACCAAGAAGTGCATATGAACAAGGGAACAGGATTACAGATGTGTTCTGTCTCGCACGAGGGAGAGACTCCACTAAAACGTTGTGTGTAGGGTGTGATTTGGTGAGACTTGAGCTGTTATGACACTGTTAGTGGGGACAGTGAGAGCCTGTGTCCCATCAAATGGCCAGCAGTTGGTTACTTGTGAAACTAAACGTCGGTGTACCCAAGAAACTTTACCATCCTACATAAACAACTGACAAATAACAAGGGAACAGGTGTCATTGTGTGTACCAGAAGTGAGTATATTGTGCCAGTTTGCTGTGTAGCTCTAGTCATTTCTATTAACCTAACCTCAGCATATGTCAATGGAAATGCTTTATGTGAACTGATAGAAATGACATTTTTCTAAATATTAAATTTGCCCAGTTCTAACAGAACACAAATTAAATGGAAGGATGTGTCAGCTAACATGGCTTAGATTTAAATTTGAAAATTGATGTTTGTGTGACCCTGGACTGTTGTACTTGTCACTTGAGAAATTAACTCATCATATTTACAGGAGCACCTCCAGAATTGTTTCCATTGGAGGTGGGGAGTCAGAAATTTTATGTTTAAGATGTTTGAGAATATTTTTACACATTGCTCTAGAGCCATGGTTCTCTGTATTAAAACAGAGATGATGCCATGTTTAAAAATAATTTTATCTTTTGCTTCCATGATGTGTATGTATTGACCGTCTTCTAGTGCACACAATCTCACTTGTCACTTCACTACATGTTTCGGCATCACTGTGCCATCCTGAGGTGTGTTATTTACGTTAAACTATTGCATCGCTCACCATCATGTGTCGTTTATAAAATGATTTAAAATGTATATTTGTCATGTACTATAATAACATTTGTTAAGATTTATCACCTTATACGCTGTATTTCAAACTCGCGCATTATATCAATCTTCCACTATGGGAGTCGTTCTTCCTATATTTTGTGTATACTGTGTCTTGTGATGTGTCCTTCTCTTGTGGTTGCGTGCATTGTAATGCTGGATGATGAATATACATTTTAAATCATTTTATAAACGACACATGATGGCGAGCAGTGCAATAGTTTAATGTAAATAACACACCTGAGGATGGCACAGTGATGCCGAAACATGTAGTGAAGTGACAAGTGAGATTGTGTGCACTAGAAGACAGTCAATACATACACATCATGGACGCGAATCAGTGCAACAGGACGCTAAAATACAACTTTATCTTTTTCTGTTATTATTTTGACATTTCTTTCTTTTTAAGTCTGATTTTTTAAAGTGTGGGTAGGGAGATGCCAGGCTTCTCCCCTCCCTCCCACTTCCCTGCTGGTGCCCATGCATATTTACCCCACTAGAAGACAACATTGCCGGTCACGGTAGCCGAGCGGTCTAAGGCGTGCACTGTCTTCGCTCGCTCGGAAGCCGGGATCGTGGGTTCGACTCCCACTCAGGGCATGGATGTTTGTGTGCTCTTTTCTGTTTGTGTACAGGTAGAGGCCTTGCGATGAGCTGATCACCTGTCCAAGGAGTCCTACCATATGTCTAAGATCTAGAAAAACAGAAAAGTGAACGGAGAAGTTCATGGAGGTAGGCCTAGGCCCACTGGGGCTGTAGTGCCAAGGAAAAAAGGAGACAACATTTCTTCCCACCAGGAACTTTTTTTAGGGTACACAAATCTCTTATTTTTCTCAGTATGGATTTATGCACAAACACAACTATCTGTTCACTCATGTCCTAGAAAACGTTTCTTTATAAAATCTGCACCTAGTACATACTGTGTTCTCCCACTAGCCTTTAGCCTTTTTGATGTACCCATAGTCCTTCTTGAGAAGCTAACAGCCACTTAGCTAGTAAAGAAAAACCCTTGCCTTTTATGCAACTTGAAGGTTCATTACCATGGTCACAGGAACACTGGATTATGTCCTGAGCCAGATGAATCCTGTCCATACCCTCTCACCATATCATGCTCCCTTTTATAGCTTGGTCTTCCAAGGATTTTCTGACCAGTAGCCAGCAGCCATTAGTTTAAATTTGGCATCGTATGCAGGTGAGAATACAGTTGCTTCGAATTCTTTGCAAAAGTATAAAGCTTTCTTTATGTACAGGCATTTGGTTTATATCATATGTTGTACCTTAAATGTTTCAAGCCTGAAGTTCATCTAAATTATGTATAAAAATTCAGGTCATACTCTACAGGAAACACAGAGTGGCTGTTAAGGAAAGTAATCACTTTTACCACTGGGAAAACAATTTTTTTATGTTAATGAAGGTGGCAGACATATTCACCAATGTGCAAATATACCTTCACATGTTTCAGGTCTCTATATAAGTAGTTTTACCATTTTTAGGTTAGATTTAGATTTATGTGTAATTACAAGTTTGGTGTTAAAAATGAACATAGCAATATTCTTTAAAATTGTCAAAATTCTAGTTGCATAATGTGGAATTGATACTGTTTCCTGTTCCACTGCTGATATGTATGTAGGGTGTTCTGTATGCTTGTCTGTGGGACCTCATATACCTGCTCAGCGAACACTGCGTGTGTTGTGGTGACTCAGTTCAACACAGTTCTGCTGGCTGAAACATGTTAAGGTGTATTCACTCAAATATCTAAATGTCTTTTAGAGTCAATTTTGTACGTGTAAGAGCATATCAGGAATTATTTGGTATAACAGTGAAAGGAGGCAAAAATGATCTCAAGAAACACACACCATCGTCATCAAGTTGGACTGATTTCGAAAATGATAAAAAACAAATCCATGACCAAGACACCAATCTTGGGAGAAGCATACGAGAAAAAAAAAAAATAAATAAATAGATAAATACGTACATTCCAACATGGATGACATCTATGAGAGAAGCTCAGTAAAACCTCGCTAATCCGGATTAATTTGGCAGTGAGAGGTCATCTGGAGTAATAATACAGATTAGTGAAGCAAAGAGTTAACCTAACAGAAACAAACCCGAGAATACAAATAAATGGAAAATTTAATGATACAAGTAGTGCTGATGAGAATAAATAATAAGACATCACTGTACAGACCTCATTTAAAAACTATAAAAAGACAACACATTTATTCGATAGAAAACTCAGAAGTTGTACTTGTTTTTGAACATACTACTGCAGAAAGTCAATAAAAAGTCCGTCGAGTGTAACAATTTATAGGTCACTTCTTTATCAGTTCTGCCTTACATGTTTCGGTTTAATAAAACCATCATCAGAGGCACATAGTACAAGCATGAAAACACTGCCGTTGTTTAAGATGTACACAGTTATGTTTGCTGCTACAATACGTCGACGTGTAAAAGCACAACACTTGTTAGGATTGTTGAATGCACGTTCAATTCTCACATTCATCCAAAACTGCCCTCAAGTTAAAACGCCAATGTTAAAATATTTAAAATTTAAAACATTTGAAGTAAAATGTTAAGCTCCTCCTTGTTAATTCGTCCCGAAGATGGGAGATGTCAGCTTGAGGATATGTGGCTTATGGTTAGATGTTTCCTATGTNGAAGTTGTACTTGTTTTTGAACATACTAATGCAGGTTTAAAGAAACTGTCAAAGTTTTGTGTGAACAAGTGACTCAGCTGCCTTCCTAAATGTGAACATTTTTCATATTTTGATCCTGATTAACTGCAACTGGATTAGCGAGGGTTAATTGTATGTTGAATTCCAAGTTTATACAAACAGTAATAATGTTTTGTATGCTGGAGCTATGTACCAAGGACGCTGGTTACCCCAACAGCAAATACAGCTGCTAAAGAGCTTGAGGGTAACCCCTGCTGCAAACTAAACAGAAAACCACAACTAACTAACTCCACATGGCTGAGCCTCTCTTGAGAAGCAAACAGATGGCTCAGCCAGTCAAGAAATACCATACATTTTATGAAATCTGAAGATTCATTATTTATTCCTGTATTTGCCAGAATCTGCCACTGGTCCCCTATCCTGAGCCACATGAATCCAGTTCAGTTCCTCACATCCTCTTTGGGATCCATTTCAATATTATCTTCCCATCTATGTTTGCATGACCTTATGCCATCATTATTCAAATTAGAATTTATATTCTAGGTATATGTTCTTACTTTTTTCAAGAGTAACACAGGGCTGGAAACTCTGCCCATTGGTCCATGTTGCTTAATGGGAGAGCAATCAAACTTTAGCTTCTAAGCTAAGACTTCATGTTCTGTGTCTGTGTGCATGCATCCGTACTGACAGAAATTCTATGCTACAACAGAACTGGCAGCATTTCATCTCACCCTCCAACATCAGCCAGATGGAACTGACTCAGACCAGCCAGCATTTACACTCACTCACTTGCAGAAAGTTACAAAGTTCTCTCGCTATGCACAAGTGTAGCTCTGCTAATGTGTGCTGACGGATTTTTCGAACCACTGGAGGCACATGGCTCAGTATAATATGGTAGGAGGTGGTGGCAGGGTCACCACTGAAGACCACAGCTCGATAAACAATTTTCTTTCTTAAAAATAAACTTTCAGTGAAGGCCCTACTAGGAAGAACTCTCTTATTATCGAATGAGAGCTCAGAGTGCAACAAAGCATCAATAAAAGTATTATCATCATAAAGATTTTAGATTCAGCCATTTTTATTTCATGTGTTTACTGACAGTGGAAACCATTAACATCTTTATATGGTGATGAGAGATAATCGGTCCGCACTGAATGTTAAAAATTATGAAAGAGAAACAATTTAATTGTCAGAAACTTTCCATCAGCATGTAAGAGAAGGGAAAGCATTCATTCCTAATGACCTCATCCAGCAAGAGCTCCATGTGAAAAATATAGCAATGTTCAAGACGAACTATTTAGTTAGTCACTACGAGTAAATTAAAAACAAGGAAAGTATATCCTTGTAAAGTAATTATTTATCCATGTGTATTAAAAACCGCATAATATAGAAATAACTAGAATTTTTAGACTGACATATATTAAGTTACAGTTATTCACGATCCACAGGCTGAGAGATCCTGTTCAAAACAGCCCAGTTGCAGCCAACTCTCTCACTTTGTGTATCATAAACATGATTCACTGTCTGATCCTCTGAAGCACAGTGGTAACTACATCTACCACCTACATACATTAACATTACAAAGCCCTGCCATTCTTTTTTGCAGTGTATATGCGCTTCATATGATTCTCACATAAACAATGATTACCACCCCTAAACAGTGTCAGCTGCCTGTTTTTTGTAATGGAGACATTGCTAAGCCAACTTCAGTGGCTAGAGGGTGTCACGTGGTCAGCGCAACGGATCCCCACAGCGGTTAATCTCGGTTTTCTAGACCAGAGCTTGAAATAGCTCCTCAATTATCCTCACGAGGTTGAATGGACCCTGTTCCACACCCACTACTTCTCATAAAATCTGGTAGCGCCAGGAATCGAACCTGGACCTCTGCATTTGTAGCCAGGAACTCTGGCACTAACTTCGCTGACAAGTGGCGGTTGCTTGGTCAGTATAGTTCGCTTGCAGACTACAGGCCACAGAGTTTATTTTGAAATTGCTAAGCTTTATGTTGCCTAGCAACACACAAAGGTTACCTGTACAGTAAGCCTCTTTCTGATGAGTGAATGGGTCCTTCGACACGACTCAGTCCACCACGTACAGCAGGTGCAAGTACCGCGGGTTCATCTAGACTTGGGGCTCTCTCTCTCTCTCTCCAGAACCTATGTTGCTTTGTACTGCACCAGCAGAAAACAGCAGAATCAGCCCACCAGCTGCCATGGCTGCTGTGTTTCCTTCGAATATGCTTGCCACAAGACTGCTGAACTGCAAATACCAGCACCACATGATCCTGTATCAACTGCTGAAGTTATACAATGTCTAGCAAACTATCAATGAGACATTATGAATAACATAGAAGGAAATGGCCATTTTGTCATGTTCACAACTTATGCTGGAAATCGTGCCTATCACCATATAACAGCTAAAAAAATAGAGACTGGATCTTCCTTAAGTTTATTACTGGGGGATTTCCTAAAATCTGCAGACAATATTCCAGCTTTGATTAATGCAATATGACTTTACATCACGACCTACACGTTTGTGTCCATCTGCAGTGAAACTCACTGAATATTTAAAAGAGGAGCAATTTGTCTGAAATAAAAGCTGTAGAGAAAAATAAAACATTTAAATTTTATAGCTAATACACTTTTCCCTTAACACAGTTTTGGTTAAAAATAGGGACAAAACAGAGAACATGCACATTCACCACCACAAGCTGGTGCCAGACATATCCCAGCACCAAGGGATCACACTGAAGGCAGTGATGAGTACAGTGGTGGTGCCAGGCAGCTTATTGTGTCTCTTCTTGCCTGTGTCCAAAGGGCTGCAACAAAATCTTCTGCATCTTTGTGTGGCTGCCACTTTGGTTTTGTCAATATGAAATGAACCAGTGAGAGTTCAGTTTTCTCATCCTCTGCCCGAAAGCACATGTTTATGCAGCAGTTCTGCATTACCAATCAACTACCTACCCGACACAGAGCTCAGGCCTAAGGAGTACAAATGCAAAAACCAGTTATTACAGCTATATTCTTCAGCTTTGTGCTGGGAAATGCATTTATGTACATTTTTGCAGTTGGTTTCTACAGTGTATCATTGAAGATGAGATTATATGGAACTGACATTCTTTTCTGATGAAGCATGTGTTCACTTGAAGGGATACATAAATATGAAAAATAATTGCTACTGGAATTCACCGAATCCACACCTAACCCATGAAGTATGGCTCCATCCAGTGAAAGTTGGAGTCTGTGCATGCTGTAAGGGCAACAAGGATTGCTCTACCTGCATTTTTTTTTAACGGAACAATTGTGAAAGATATGTACAGGTCATTCTCTGACAATTCTTTCAAGAGTTAACAAAAGAAGAAAGATTCTATGGCTCGTTTCAGCAAGACTCAGCTACTGCCCACATTTCACGTGCATCTATGCAACCTTTGTCTGGTATCTTTGGGGACAGAAATATCAGCACTGGTAATTGACAGGCACATTCACCCTACCTTAATTCTTATGATATTTTCTTCTGTGGTTCTTCACAGGACAAGGTTTAAAACAGTAAACCCCATAAGGTAGAACTAAAAAAAATATTCATAGGGAAACTGCAAAAATTCTGGCACATCTTTATGGGTTAATCAGAACCCCTTCTGCTGGTGAATGGAAGTCTATGTGTAGGGGGACAGCATTTACAGCATCTTCTGTTGCCTGTGAATTGTATACTTCATTCCAAACTTTACTGGCCACAGGCATAATCAAATTCTCCATAAACATTATCACCAGTACAGGCACAATAGGACATATGGAAGCCGACGTGCCGAGGGGACCTAATATGGATCCCACCTCACACTATGTGAAATCTTAACTATTGTAATCTACTGTAGTCTACTGTAAACAATTTTAAGTATTGTAACTTTATTCTCTTATTGTAATCAACCAATGTACAGTAACTGACTTGTCCTATATCATGTATCAATGATCTATAGAGATGAAATAAATACATACATACATACATTGGCAAACTCTGTATCCTCCTTGCAGCCAGCAGTGCATCAGTCGCTGTGAAACGGAGAGCTGTGAACCGGCCGAGAAAAGTAAGAACCTCCATCTGTATGTATATAAATACATTCTCTGTATCTAATGTTTAGTTACCTTTCTGTCTAACAGAAAACAGCAAAAAAATCTGTCATGACAACTAATTACCTGACAGCAGGTACAGAGGCAACTTCAACAGTGTCAGGTATATTAAATTTACTTCAAACAAAGAGCAACAGGCAACATGTGTCTATAATATGTCACACACTGTCACAAATCTTTAGAGAATCATTAGTTGAGCTTATAACAAACCCTCAACATAATGACACCTCTATGTTATTACATGGATACAGACTGCATCGAAGACAGAAAACAAATGATAAACATCAGCATTTATAGATCCTGGGAACTCTATGATGTAGTACCAAAGCATTGCTTACTGGATTGGACAGACAAGGAAAATGTGAAGGATATTTCCTGTATAGAATTTACCGCAAACATTCAGTTTACACAGTATTTCATTTCATCTATATTAGATCTGCTCAAAAGAAAATGGAACTGGTACATCACAAGCAACATTCTACAAACTACAGCTGCCAAGAGACATTTCAGGGGGGGGGGGGACCTTCAGAATCTGGTTAACAGTGCAGTAGAGCTGCTTCATGTGTGGAGACAGAAATGGAGATGAAAAGACAAGTGGCAATTCTACTCATGTTGACCAGTTGCAATCTGTATTCCCACCAGAGTGGACAAAATACACTGTAAAATGAGGCACCGGCCAACAATATCAAATAATACTACACCTATACCACGGGCCTCCAAGCAGTTTACTTTACGTATACAAGTCTTGAATATACCGCTGTATGTCCGCGGGAATATAACAACAAGATTGCAACAACTGACGTCATAATATGAAATATCACATGAAGTGTTTTTAACCACATTTTATTACATTAACATTCATTTTATAATAATTTTATAATTCATTGTATTTTTTTATACCTTGTATTATTATAAAGACAAAACAACTCCGTTCAGTGTGACTAATGGAGTTTTTACTACTTGAAAACTCAATGCCCTTACATGTTTTGGTCCTTATAGACCATCATCAGAGGGAACAGTAAAAACAACACAGCATGCCACGAACAAACACAGGACGATACCAAGAATCTCCTCGGCACAAGATCAGCTCCCATCAAGAAAGAGGATAGGAGAAGGGACATGAACCTACTTGGTTTATAAATTTAACTTAAATAACAAAGTTTTAAAAACTTTAATATACCAAGAAAGCTGCTGTAGTTGTGGAAAAGTTGGATTTTGTATATATTGTGCATTACAAACATTGTATGTGTATGTGTTTTAACACTCAAAACACCCATTGTGATAGTAGTTTCCAAAAAAAAAAGTATTGATGTTCCCTCTGATGATGGTCTATAAGGACCGAAACAGGTAAGGGCGTAGTAGTAAAAACTTCATTAGTCACACTGGACGGAGTTGTTTTGTCTTTGTAAATTGTCAGTGTGACAGACCAGAATGAAATAAATCAAATTGTATTATTATAGTATAACATAGTTAGCTGCTCTGTACAGATTTCTTCTCTAGACTTCATAATCTTAGAAAGTATTAAGTTCATAATGTAGGAACCTCCCTCATAATGTAATGGTCCCTGTGGCGGTACAGAAAATATCTGCCCTTTATGTTACCCGAGCACTCATTACTGTGTTCACACATTCCCATCATGACTGACACAAACAAACCCAGTCCAAACCCTGGAAAATTATATCTTTAAAATCCATCTGCACAAATGTCTCCCAAGTGGTCTCACTCTTTCAGGTTTTCTATCCAAACCTTTGAATTCATTTCTCATTCTCAAATGTGTGCTACATGACCTACCCATATCACTCTCCTTGAATTGCTCCTTCTATTACATAACATGCCAAACTGTTATAATATGAAGAACCATGTAAACTCCCCAGATGTATTATGGAAACTAATACAAGCTTCGCATAAAATGTTTAATTTTTTAGGCTATGAGAATTGACAGATAATAAAATTCTTCTGTGCACACACGCACAAAACACTTACCATCCTTTCTCTCACGGCAGGAAATTTTTCTTCAGCTTTCTGTAGCAGAATTCTTGGCATTGAAAACGCAGTCTTTCATAACCTCGAAACTTTTTCTTATCACACATTTTGTGGGTTGCATATGAATTGATTTACTAGGATCCTTATGATATGGCATCATATTTCTAACAAGCGTACTTGTATCTGGCCTCGAAAATTTGCCGAAGTCTGTAAGGAAACATACTAAAGATGCTAAGGATTGTGTACGAACACATTCTGATTTAGCTTTCTTTGTTCTCAGAGCAGAGGCTATGAAGCTTACTGTCATATTACATGTGTAGTCTTAACAGGTTGTTGCTCAGTTTCGTTTGGGTGAACCACTTGCTTCCAAAACGTCGGTAGCAGGTTACCAGACTGCAGGTAGTTACATCCTAGAAGCAGCAAACTACTCTACAGATTAACACCGTTGTGCCGCAAAATTGTATTCACTATACATTTGCATGCCGGACTGATTTGTGCAACAGGTGAGAAAACGCAGAAACACGGTAAAAATGTGCATTCTAATAGGAACATGACCCTCAGAAAGGAAGCTGAGAAGTTTAGTAGAATACAAAGTAGAACTTGCGACAGCGGAATAATATGACGAACCCCAAGAATTTCTTTAGAACGATATTAATGATTCCCTAAAGAATGCCCACAACTTTCACACCTACATAAAAAAAGTAACGTCCGGTAAACGCTACAAGAGATTGTGGTACTCGGTGCTTCGGTGCTAATGGTCGTATTCCCCGACACTTTCCGCTTTTCACCTACTAGTCTAAAAGCTCTAAAAAGCGTTAAAAGGCTAGGATTACTTGATAGCTTTCTACATTTCCTCTCACTTCCTCAAGTTTCTTGTATACCGGTGGGAATATCACTTCCGACGGAAGTGCGTTGATGAAGTTGGTAGTGAATAAATAATTTGAAAGTACTAGATTGAACAGTTAGTATTCCGCTTGGTACTTAAATTTCAAATTTTATTTTAAATTTGTGTCAGAATGCTTTAAAATGAACGCAATAACACATTAATTGCCTCTCCAACGATACACGTACATTTCCGGAGTTTAGTACGTAGGTAAATCAATAAGTAAGTTACAAATGGATATAGAACTTAAACAAATAAAAGAGTACTGATTTGAAAAATGCTTTTATTTCTCAACATAATCTCCCTGTACATTGAGGCACTTCTCCCATCCTTTCACAAGCCCCTGAAATGCAGCAGCATAAAATTCTTTGGGTTGCTGTGAGAACCAGGTGGTGACTTCCCTTTCTACAACTACATCGTCGGGAAAATGTTCAGCCGAAAGATGATGTTTAAGTGGGCCGAACAAATGGAAGTCACTTGGAGCAAGGTCGGGGCTATACGGAGGATGCTCGAGGACTTCCCATTCGAAATTTCCCAGCGTCTTATTTGTCTTGTTGGCAGTATGGGGACGCGTGTTGTCATGCAAAAGCAACACGCCTTTGGTGAGGAGTCCAGGTCGCTTCCGTTGAATGGCCTTATGAAGTTTCCTGAGGATGTTACAGTAGGAGTCGGCATTTACAACTCACCAAAGGCGTGTTGCTCTAGTATGACAATGCGTGTCCCCATACTGCCAAATGGGACGCTGCAAAATTTCATGTGGGAAGCCATCGAGCATCCTCCATATGGCCCCGACCTTGCTCCAAGCAACTTCCATTTGTTCGGCCCTCTTCAACATCATCTTTCGGCTGAATATTTTCCCGAAGATGAAGCTGTAGAAAGGGAAGTCACTGCCTGGTTCCGACAACAGCCCAAAGAATTTTATACTGCTGGGACAAGTGCAACAATGTACAGGGAGATTATGTTGAGAAATAAAAGCATTTCTCAAATCAGTACTCTTATTTGTTTAAGTTCTATATCCATTTGTAACTTACTTATTGACTTACCCTTGTAGAATGTCAGGTTCAGTGCAATTGCACCTACTGTGACAGCTTTATCATTTGTTTATCTTCAGATAACAGACTCTAGCTAGATGATCCACCCAGCATTGATAACTCATAAGTGGTATATTTTGTACATTGACTCTTGCCTGCATATCTCACTGCTGGTCGTATAAAAGTACAGTTTGTTACATAACACTGAAAGTAACTTGTGGCATGTGACAATTGGAAGGTTGATGAACAGTTGAAACCAACGTTTTAACTGAAATTTGTTCCTTCAGATTAGAACTATGGTATGTATTTACAGGTCATATACAGTGTCAGGAACATCTATATAATAAGTGAAGCAAATAATTAGAATTCCTCTTGGGAGAGTGGAAAGGGTATTCATTTTACCATGTTTCAAATTTGGTCATAAATAATTAGGTTTGGTAATAGCAAGGAGTTTAGGTTAAATTCAAGTATGAGTATCCAAGATTTCATCATGTCTTGTATACCTATATAAATTTAAAAGTTACTCAGTTTCCATATCCTCAGCTTCAATTGTAACTTGAGGTCTTCCATGGTTTAATTTTGTAGATCCTGACAGATTCTATATGGGGCTTTTGTTCAGAAGTTGATGCTGCATGCTATGAGTGTCGAACAAGACTACTACAATTTATATACTAATACCTGGCTGATGTTTGAGCCCTGACAACTATTTTAAACTTACCAGAAAAACTGTAATATTCATAAGAATTGAACCTAGCAGTAAACCCTGTTATTTTCATCTGAAAGAAGTTTTTGGAAGTGTTAATCCCCTACTTTCCTTTGATACAACATGGACAGCATACTGCTACTGTAACATTTATACTAAACTGTTGACTTGCTAGAAGAATACGCAGACACTCAAACTGATGGGAGGGATTTATGAAATACACCATTGAGATGGGCTCATGTCCCATGATATACTTACTGAGTTCCATAAAATTGGTTTAGGCATTCAAATGTTGATACAGGGCAATACACAGGTGGCATGGTGGTCTCTTAAGCCTACTTTCATTTTATAAAAATAAGGAAAGTAGGCTAAAAATCAGTGAGAAAAGATACACAAAACTGAAAATGATTAACTAACTTATAGGTATTTTAAGGCTGCACCATGGCTCAAGCGGTTAGTTGCTGGCTGCTCACTGTGGTGGCCCGGGTTTGATCCCGGGTCTGGTCAAGTGGGATTTGTGGCAGACAGAGTGGCGCTAGGGCGGGTTTTCTCCGAGTACTTTGGTTTCCCCTGCCAATCTTCATTCCACCAAATTGTCAATCATCATAACCTGGGGCAGGTACAGTAGGCCAATCAGTGGCTGCCATGCTGAGTGGACCCAGTTTGACTCCACCTCCCACTAAGCGAAATAGGTATTTGAATACCACATTCTAAGAGCATGCTGCTGGTTGGTCCCTAGCCAGTTCAGTTTAATTCACACTGTCAAATCCAGTTTCCTTAAAATTGATTTTCTTGTTAAATTCCACTGCTGTTTTATTGTTCCCAGTACTAATTTTCTGCAGGGTTTTCTCAAAAATATGTGTGTGTATTTTGTTTCTTCTACTTGAGCTGCATATCCAACACAATATAAGTTGAACTGGAAGACTAAGAGAAGCATATACCTTTCACTGTAATTTGTTATGTGGTTTCCTTCATTCCACATTTGTTTTATTCCTCTTAGATTCTAGTGTTTTCTTTACTTCTGTGTGCTCAGACCACTGAAAAGAACAGGTCTGGTAACCATGTGAGACGTGATGTTGCCACAGTAGTTAATACGAAGCCTGTTGTATTCTTGGGTGATGCCATGTAGTCTGGTAGGAAGGTGCCAATGTTACAGAGGAACTTAATGCCTACACCTTTAGGTTCAGGAAGATGGAGGCTGCAGGTTCCCCCAAAACACTGGTACTTTCTTACCAAACTGCATGGTACCACATCCCAGGAGGCAGGAATCTTTGGGTAAAGTATTGTTTTATACCTGTACATATATCCTACTGCTGCATATAGCATACTGGATACGGGACAAGACAGGAACTAAGAAATAGCAAATATTCCCTGACTGTAGTTTTATTTTAATTTCGTATCTGAAATGCATTATTAGACACAGACATCAATAAATAGATTTTAATGCCTATTTTGTATTTCACCGATTGGAAGTAAAAGGCCTTGTTTCCCATTACTACACTTAGCACCGGGTTGCTTCAGAATGTACCAGTAAAATATACCAGTGTGAAATGACTTTTATGCCCCCAATGCCTTGGATTATTTAAGTCTCTTACTTCAACCTGCTATAGGTTATGTAAGATTGGCAGATTGTGTTTTAAGAACTGAGTAACACCATAGGATCCAAGATAAGGAAAGCAAATTTTGAAGATTGGATGTTTTGCAAGATGCCCCACTCCTTTGACAAATTTGTGCAGCCTGTATAAATGACATGCAATATGAAACTAGTTCTTAAGCATCAGGTAGATCTAGCAGAATCTGTTTTATTTTCTCAATTAATTCTGAAATTCATTAACAACTGCATTTACTGTCACTCTCGTACGTATTATCATAAAATTATGTATTTCTGTCAACTTTGCCATCAGCTGTCATGGCACGATCTCCCCAAAGCAGTATAGTTACTGTTCAAACTCTTCAGATGTGATACTGGCTGAAGATACATTTGGAACCTTCAAAAATGAATCGGGGAAAACAGAAACAGTTAGACGTTTCACTTTGTCAAATAAGAATGGCATGCGTATAGAGATTATCAACTATGGAGCTACCATCACAAGGTTGAATGTTCCTGAAAAGACTGGGAGACTTGAAGATGTTGTTTTGGGTTTTGACAATATAGAAGGTAGGTGCTTGTTTTCACAGCACAGGGTGACTTGTTTCATACTGCCACTCACATATGGTATAGCAGTCTTCTCCCCGAGTCATATCTATGGTAACTTTTTTCTTCTTTCTCCCATCCAAGTTAGCAACCTAAATCATTTGCATTAGTGCTCTTCAGATTCACAGAACAGTTCAAAAACATATTTCTGAATATCTGTTGGAGGAACTGTAAACACCTCCATCAGTTAATTTGAACAATTTATAAAATGAAGCCTATATTTAAATTAAATTAAATTTTTTTTAAATTGTTACACTTAATTACCTCAGTTTTCTTAATTTTATTATTATCATATATGTTGTTTAATTTCATTAAACTGTTTTTATGTGGCCTTCTGTTGAAAATTGCTTGTAGTTGAACAAGTTAATTTTATTCCCATTTTTGTATGTGTAAAATAACAATACAAGATATGCTTATAATGTTATATTTTAGAGTCCTGTTGCACTGATTTATGTCCATGATTTATTCTGACCGTCTTACAGTGCAGAGAGAAGAGTAAGGTGAATAAATGTATGCACTGTAAGACGGTCAGAATAAATCATGGACAAGATATGCTTATCTGCTTTAAGCTCCAAAATTCAGGAACCGATAAAGAACACTAGGCAGGCACTTCTATATTGTATTTTCATTGGTTAACAATCATTAGAGCTTCTTGAGTCTTTATTGAACACTGCTATATAAGCTGTGAAGTTCACAGTTTATATAGTTTTGAGTGATAAATTATTGTATAATCATGAATAGCAAACCTGAGAAAGGAAGCAGTCCTGGCCTGTTTTAAGGTATGCAGCAGATTTTGCCTGGAGGGACTGTGGAAGACCACATCAAACCAGTCTCTGTGCCTCTCAAATGTAAGTGGGAATGCCAAGTGTTACGGTTTGTCAGAACAGATGATGTTTTTTAAGTTTAAATAACTATAGTTGCAAGAATAGTTAGGGCAACAGTATACTGGCTGTAAATATCCTGCAGTTACTGCACAGTTCTTGTTAGTTAATTTATGCTTGACTTGATCTCAGAAATCTTCGATTCTTTGTACCAGTATCTCACAAAATGAAGCTTCGTCTTCATATCCTGGATGTGAAACAACTCCTTTTAGATTCAAAGTCTTTATGCCTTCATGTTGCCATGGCATAAAACCATATGAGATATGAGAAGGACCTTCCCAACACTGACAGTCAGAATGTACAGAAAGTTGTTCAAGGGGCATGCATTGCACCCCACAGTATTTTGGCCTGTGGTTTTGAACAGCTACCATTTGTTCTTGACTGTCCCACTTATACAAGAGCATGGATAGCACAGTCGGTATAGCTAGCTATGGGCTGGACAGCCGAGGGGTCAGAGTTTGAGCCCTGTAGGGTCAAGATTTTTCTCTTCTCCATGTCATCCAGACCTGTGCTGGGACTTGCCCAACTTCCTGTGCAATGGGTACTGGGGACCCTTTCCCAAGAAATAAAGTGAATGGGGTGTGAAGCTGATCACTCACCTCCATCTAGTACTGAGGTCAAGAATACATGGATCTGTACATCTACTCCCCCATACGTCTTCATGGCATAGTGCTTAATTAGTTAAGGATCCCATCAGGGATTCAGTAGTTGGAAGTACTGTGGGATGACTTGTCAGTTATATTACTAAAGGGATCTTGAGGGGTCAAAAATATGATATAATTCTCAACCAAATATGATACTGTCTTCTTGGATGGAAGAGAAGTTTTTGTAAGGCCTGTTTGATATTTTGACTTTCGGTTTCCATTATTTTGATACAGGATATTTAGGATCAAGCAATCCATACTTTGGATGCATTGTTGGAAGAGTTGCCAATAGGATTGGCAAAGGGATGTTCCATCTTGAGGGTGAAGAATACAATGTAACTCTTAACAGAGGAACATACCATCTTCATGGAGGGAAGAAGGGTTTTGATAAGGTAAGCCTAGCAGGGTCTTAATTGCTATAGTAATTTTTAGCTTTATTTCTTGAAAGAGTTTGTTTATAGATGAGTTATGCTTATCTGTATATTTAACCCCCAACAAGTTATAAACTAATCAAGAATTTTCAGTGAAGTAGTTAGTTAGTTAGTTAGTTAGTTATTTGGAGAGGGTGGGTTTCCCCATTTGCTTAGACCTGTGCTGGTCCATTGTGCTTCCCTCTATGATTTCTACCAGTCTCTATATCCTACCGGTACTGGTGCTTACCATCAGTCCTGCCCAGCCAGCGAGACCGGCTCTACTAGCTGAGAGGTATCTATAATGCTTACCCCATCTACCAGAGGTATTAGAGACTGCTGTTGGGCGGGAAACGTCCGTAATTTGGCTCAGTGACCTCCTTTGGAGATATGAGGTTCTTTTACGTGCCGTAAAGCTACGACACGGGACCCACGGCTTAAAGTCCCTCCTGGAGGACTTGTTCCCTGAATTTTTCTGCCCTTAAAAATTCGACGACCTCCGCCGGGTATTTGAACCTGCGTACTACGAGTCATGAGGTGGGAACGTTACCTCTAGACTACGGAGGCTGCTTTCAGTGAAGTAAGTGATGTGGAAATAAAGTGGTCGACCATTGCGCTTCCATACTTATCAGCCACTCTGAGCTAGGTTATTTGTGGGAAGAAGAAAAGTGTAGCTTCAGCGTCATTCGAATTTAACAGGAAGAAGTCTATGTTCTCTAAAAGCATTGTTTCCAGAGCATATGGTTGCATTCAGGACTGGTATGGTGAATGAAAGTGATTTTGAAATGAATATACAGTCAGTCCCTGTCCTACATAAAGGTTTGGTTCTGCAAACCCTTAGGTAATTTGAAGTTTACATATATTGAAAATTACTGCATGTATATGATATATATATTTGTGGTATTCTGCAGGTAGTAACAATAATATGACGATGTTTTGTAAGTTGTAGTTGTAGCATATTAAAAAAAATAATGCATACATTACATGAGGGTACAACACCTGAAAGCTGGAATAGTGGAGCCAGAGCCAGATGTCTGTTGATGAGCAACAGCTAAGTAAACGCCAGTTTTCATTACAACAGCAGCAAATGAATCATTACCAGGTAACAAGTTGCTTAACACAAGATTCCTGGGACAACAGACGACAATTAACTGTTTGACATGATGTCTTCTAAGCTGGCTGCCTAGCAATTATGACAAGTAGAGAATTCGAGGAGTAGAGATCCAAAGATCCAGAATTCGAGAGACTAGAGACTAGTCTAAGACTCAGACAACAGTGAGAGATTTCTCATTTAGATTCGTCAAACAGACGTTAAGGAGTTCAATGTGTGAGATGTTATAATCAACTGTAATAGTAAAGAAGTGCCAATAAACCCATCATCAAATGTAGAACCCACAATTATTAGTCATGTAAACCCCCTATACATGACAGTATAAAGTAAATTATTGGCAGATCTGCTTGAGTCAGCTTGTGTAACGTGGCGAGAAATATGTATTAAAAGTTGACATAACAGACATCATGTCCTGATATAACCCAGCCATTGGACTCCATCCTTAGTAAGTTTCAGCCTCATGAATCGTAGCCTGGACAGTGACAAATGCTCCAGTCTGGCTAGTAGTGCATTGGTAGACCACTAAATGGGGCAATATGAAGCAAGTGTCTTCCTTCTCCCATCAACAAAATCTCAAAAGTTCTGCTTGGAGTCAGCAGTATGCATGGTATATCTTATATGCTCCACCAGTTCAGAGTTCATGGAAATATGTAGGTTCATCCCTTGAGCGAAGCTCCAGAAACTGTACTTTCATATGTGCATCACCATGAAAAGAGCCAGGGAGAGAATGCAGTTCCATTAGTACTGTCAAATTTTGTGGTTGTATGTTTGCATGGCCATCTTACAGACCAGAATGATGTAATGATGGAACCATTACAAGTCAACTTAATCATGTACATGGTTCCAGGTACTGTGGGAGTCACATGTGGAGGGTAACAAAGTGACATTTTCATACCTAAGCAAGTGTGGAGAGGAGGGTTACCCAGGACATGTTCTGGTACAGGCCATGTACCAGCTGTCTTCAGATAATAAACTTATTTTGGATATGAGTGCCATATCAACTAAACCAACACCAATTAACCTCACAAACCACACTTATTTCAATTTGGCTGGACACGTAAGTTGAAATTTGTCATGATTGTAGGTATGTATGTTTCGGAGGAACCTACCACCTCTTAGGGGTACTATCCTCACTGCTACGATGGCCTCACATCTTAATTTTTCTGTTCATATCTGAAATGTCATAACAGTTTTGAAACTTCACATAGGTCATCATGTAGGAAGGTCTGTGTTGTGTGTGACAGTGTATAATGTAAGTGGCAATATACACTTGGTAAAGAAACTGATTACTTAAGTATACAATTATTAATTTATAGGTCTTCAGAACCTCACTATATAGACTGAAGCATTTGAAAGATAGTATAAATTCTTCTCAGAACTTATTGTTAAAATATGATTGTTACAGAAAAAAGGTAGAACTGGTATTTTGGAACATACCATGTGCATAAATGCTGATAGATACACAGAAGTGGATCACGAGAGTATTCCTACAGGTGGGTTCTAAGTAAAGGCATCTCACGTTCACTCTTTTCTCAAATTTTCTTCTTCATCTTCATGGTGTCTCTCATCTTTATTAGCTTTCCCAGGCTCAAACTCTGTAACTATTATTATTCCAGCGTGCTTCCTTCCATTACATAAAAGTCTTAAGAACATCATGGTTATGATTTCTTCATTTAGCCAACTGCCTTAGCTCTGGCCAAATGTATTAAAACCCGCCGTCCAGAATTTTGTCTTATATATTTACATTTTCATGTTCTGTACCATGCACAATGGTTTATTTTACTTCAATCTGCGTTTTACTTATGCACAATTACATTGGTTAGTCATAAACATCTGTAAATTAAAATTTCTGTGGATTTGTACTGAGCGTTTTTCTCTGGTTTGTACCCATAATTGTATGCTGTAAGTTAGAAAACTTTCAAACTCTACACTGTACTGATAAAATGGTAAAGCTGTCTCTGCAACAGGCCGTGGAAGCCCATATGATTGTGAGACGCTGAGGCTCCCACATTTTCTCTAGACAGTTGGCTCACAGATGACGTTAAGGTTATCAGCCTTATGCAACGGCCGCCCTTTACCCCCCAGGAAGATTCCTGGTACTCCTTTCTGTTAGAGGCTGAGTCAACCCCAGGTCCATGTTGTGGCTGGAATGATTAGGTCAATAGAAAAATCCACTGACCTCATCGGGAGTCAAACCTGTTACCTTCCAGCTTGTAGCATAGTGCCCCACACTGCATCAGTGGACAAGCTTAATGCTTGTTACTGAAATGCAGTCTCTTGTTCTTTGACAAATTTAAATGTTTAAATATTACAGTTTTAGAATGAAAATACATGTCGAAAATGTGTTGAGTAGAGAGGCAGCCGACTGCCTAATCTTTATGCCTGAAGCATTACAAAGTTGTTGTTTTCGTGCAGGTGAAATAAGGTGCCTTGGAGACTCAAACATGGACCTGAGAGTTCCGAGAGTTCTTGCTCATGTTCTGAGTGCTACAGGGGGCATTGACCACAACTACTGTATCAACCGGTGCAGCCATGGAGGTCTCACCTTTATAGCCAGGTGAAATGAAGATGTGCAGTTTTATCAGATTTCTGAATTAAAGGAGGAGCACTCAGCGTGTGGTTTATGGGCTGTATTACGAGACTCTGAAAACATTTATTGCAACACACTGTACCTGATCCATTACAGAGTGAGCTGTCCTGACCAAGATTTCAACATTTTCCTCAATTCCTGCAGATAAACGTTGGAATGGCACCTTTAAATAGGCCACCGACATTTTTTTTCAAATCTTTCTCTTCCGCACATTCATATTAATAATAATATTATCTCCCTGCTGTTTGAAGTCTGCATTTGAAATGGAATCTTTAAATAACCATTTAAAAATGTGATAATAAACGAAGTTTGCAACTTACATTGTATAGAAACTTCTGAATGGCTGGACCAATTTTCTGAATAACTGCTAACACAACTTATTTCATACTTTGCCAGTTTTGCTGTTTATTTAGTGATGCCATCAGTAGCTCAGATTGTACAGTTTTGAGTGTTAAGATGGTTAATGAGCGATAAATTGCAAAGTATGTGGAAGGAAGCAGTCATGGCATAATGCATGGGACTATCCCAGCACTTGCCTTGAGGGACTGAGGAACACCATAAAAAATTTGTCAGGATAATTGTACTGTATTGATATTGTACTGTCCAAGGTTCAAAATGAGCACTTCCCAGAAACAAGTCAGAAGCATTACTGGGTGAATCTACTTGCTTTGTACCACTTTACCTTTTTAACACAACTCATTATTCTGACATTCACAAGTATAACATTAAGGGAAAACAGAATTTGTATGTATAAACATGTAACACTGTTTGTTGCAAAATGAGTGTAATTAACATGGGAATTAAAATACATAACAGGTTGCCCCCTGAATTAAAAAGAATAGAACATTTTAAAGTTTTTAAAAATAAATTAAAAAGTTATTTATTATAAAACGGTTTTTATTCTCTGCAGGAGTTTTAGTAACAATGATGGGTGGCAGTTTGGCAGCTCGAATTGGTTCTGATGTGGTGTGGATGTATATAGATGGTATAAGTGTACATGTTGCTTTATATTGGATTGTTGGGGGTTGTCATCCATGGTTGCTAAGTTCAGCGGGGGGACGATTATCCTAAGATAACTGGATTGTTCTTAGTCTTGTATATCATTTTCTACATTTTTAAGAGTTGTTGAGTTGTAGTTTTTAGATGGCTTCAACTGACTTGTTCAGTTGTACTTGTGTAAAAGTTTATGGATGTAAATAAATTATGAATTAAATTATTCCCATTTTAACTAATCACTTTTTTCTCTATCATAGAACTGGTAAATATATCTTAAAAACTTGGTGTTATGTAACATATAAATGATGCCATATGATTTAAAATGTTGAGTATAGTCATTTGACAAACTTTATGCTGTAATACACATTCTCTGACATGTAGTATAAGAAGCGGTAAATTTACCTCTCTGTTCATTTTATGTACACATATCCTTTAAGATACCCTTTGACTTACAGAGAGTTGTGGTAGGCCATAAATCATAACCTTGCTATTTAAATTGTTTTTTTTCCCTTATCTGAACATCACTGTGGCACATGTAGATTTAAGTCTGTACATTATATAGCAATTATGCAGTACATTGTTCAAGGTTCAGATAACATGCTGTCACAAGTCAAATGCACTTCAAGCACTTGGTTTCTTTTTCTTTTTTCCTACATGGTGCATGTGGCTACCTTTTATGATACCTTGGGCATATGCAGAAACCTGCAAATGTAACTGCATAAAATGGCTCGTATGAATTATCGTCAGACTACCAGATAATTTTTGGTCTTTTTATTGTAATTAATAACAGTAGTGATCATTGCCAATAATGTTAACAGAATAGTTTTTACTTTTATGTCTCTTCTTTTTGTACCTGGTCTTCATCCTAACACTGAATATAAGTTAAGGAGCATTATTGCTTTATAAATTCCACACATGCAATAGTTTTTTATAATTACAGTAATTTAAATGGTACCAGGAGCTCCAAAAATTATGATTTTTATCAATTTAGCATCTCCTGTCTCCCAAAATGTTACAGCTATCTGATTTTTGGTACACTTTTTTATATTTTTTACTTGTGTAAAAAGTTCAGCAACTTTCAACAAAATCAATGATGATTAGGCAAATATACCAGTTTTATTTCTGATAATCTTATAGAAACCTGAGATGTGCCAAAAAATCTTAAACACTTCTTCCTAAAACATGTCTGAAAATACTCATATTTTATAAATTTTGAACACTATAATTTCTAGGTCATAACAAAAGAGTCCATGTCATTGCTTAGATTAGTCATCAGCTTCATACCATGAGGGGCTGCTTAAGTCCATCCGTCATCAATGGCTGGCGAATTAATTCCATTTGACACTCATGTATCATGGGACACACTCACTGCACTCCTAAAACATAAGGCAAAATACTAATTATGGGTATGGTAGGCCTCTGAAGGTTAATTATATATACAGTTTCAATTCTGATTAGTTTGTTTCTTTGATTATTATATTTGCATTTATAATTGTTATCTCTAAATTTTGTGCCTGAGGATTTAAGAGTGAAACAAAATTATTCCAGGGCAACACATCCCCAATCGGGACGATTCATGGAGATCTATTCTGATCAGCCTGGTGTACAGTTCTACACTGCAAACTTTTTACCTGACCCAAGTTCAGAAGATACGTTGATAGTTGGAAAGAATGGAGCAAATTATGTGAAGCAAGGAGCGTTTTGCTTGGAGACACAGAACTTTCCTGATGCTGTCAATCATGTAAGTTGCATTGTCTAAAATGTAACTTTTAATGCAGTTTAAGAGATTTGTTATCGTTAATTCCGTTGTCAAAGTATTTTAGATAGAAAAGTTCCATGTCTTGTTAACAAATTAGGGGTACCACAGAGAACTTTACTTTAATCCAAGGATAAAGACAATGATGGCTATCAGGGAAGTTCCAGATATGAAATCATACCAAACTTTGAATTCTTTTATATGAGGTTGTTGTTCTCGTGAAATATATGCAAATGAATTTATTAATATCACAATCTTTGAGCCGATTGTCTAGATAATGTGGGACCCTCAACGTCTCACAACCCTATGGGCCTTCAGGGTCTGTTACAGGGATAGCTTTACCTTTTTTTTTTTTTTCACAGTTTTTTAAAGCAATTTATGGAAATTAACTCCACTGGTTCTGTAACATCCCTGATTTAAAGACGACTTATTCTCTGTGATTAAATTATTTGCCAACTGCAATGCCAGACCATAATGGTTGTATTCATTACTACTTTAATAGGTGATTTTATAGGTGTATGTTCAAGTTTGGCTCCTGTGTCATAACTCGGCACTTACTTTTTTTCTTGTCTATTAAGAGTCCCGTTGACCCAAGTTTATTCACCAAATTGTGAATTGTTTGTCTGTTGGGAATTCTTTCATCATGAAATTTACATAAAAATTTTTGCCAACACTTTCTAGCAAATCTGTATTTCACGTAGGTGTCATACAGAAATACATGTTACTTGAAAGTATATCACACCATGATGGAACACACTGCTCATTAACTGTAACAGAACAAACGGCTAATGGAGCTTGTAACTGCCACCCACTGCTGACAAATCATAAAAACCACATTACATTAAAAACATTACCACAAAACCACATAAAAATATTATGTTTCACAGAGAACCACAGTGTTCTCTGTGAAACATAATGTCTTCAGGCTGTTTACGAAGTTAATAACTTAAATTCCAAACGTTATTGGCCATCAGGCATACTGATTCATTGGCAAAATATGTATGCACCTTGCAGCTGGCAGTGCGCCGGTCACCGTGAAGTACAGAGCTGTGAACTGGCCAACAAAGATAGGAACCTCCCTGTATGATTGAGATGTAGTTACATTAATCTCCTTCCCTTTGAGAGAGGAATTTATTTGTGAAATGAAATGGGAAAGTGGGGAGGGTCAAATGTGTGCTGGAAGGAGAAAGGAACACATGGGGAGAAATTGCAAAAAAATATGATTTTATCATATTCTGATTTTATGAATAAGAGGGCTTGTGGAATGAAGTGAGAATCACCATACTACAGCAATGCATGGTGCATGGCACTAGTCAGTCAATTACAACAACAATATTCAGTTTCCTTATCCATATGTCTCATGTTACAAGACTGAATTTGTTTTTAATGTTGTTTCACAGATGAAATAGATTGATGGGCTGCTTTGAACACTTCTTTTTTATGGTATAAAGTAGAGAGTGCTAAAAGTAGATACAATTAGTTAATGACGGTTGTATGTACATCATTAAATTGAGTAAAATCACAAGAGAAACTGAAAAGAGGGACAATTCTTCATGTTTCAAACTTATATCATTGTTTTCTATATCTCACAAAATGAGTAGATAGAACCATCAAGTACTATGGCAATGACACAGTGTCCCTCTGAGTGTTTCTTTATGTCTTTTTGTTTCACAGGTGAACTTCCCAAACAGTATACTGAACCCAGGATATACATATACACACAGAGTGATTTATCACTTTGGTGTGTTATAACCTAATGGTCCTACAAAGGAGAGCTGTCACTGTTCTAAATGAATATGGTGTTATCTGCTTAACAGCTAATTTTGTACCATAATTATATCTTTCCAAATTTCCAAATGTAAAAAAAGAGTATTGGCAATGCAAATAAAAAATACACAGCTTTTGCTACCGATTTCACTTACTGTCGTAACTATGTGAATATATCTGAAGTGTTTTGTACAGTAAACAAGAGGTGTATTCAGAAAAATGTTGTAATTAAGAGAAAAAAATTATGTGAAGGATAAAAATGAAAATTTGAAATAATATGTACTTTTGGTTGATGGATGATTTTAATAGTCCTCCCAAAACGAAAATCTCCTGCTGCTGCTGTTACTTATAGGTGTGGAGAAACTATATTGCAGTAATTACATGACTGATACGAATGCAATTCTCACTGTTCATTTAAAGCACAATAGTTATCTCTTCAACTTTCTACAACATAATGCTTCTGTGGTCATGAAACAACAAGAGTGATGGGAAGAACATATATTAAAAGTACATATTACTTTTAGACCATACGTTCTGTACATATATGAGATTATTCATTATTTTTTGACCCCTCTCTATGCCCACCCACTCACGCATGCATACGCAAAAGTAAGATATCAGGAAGGGAGGGCAACCAGTACTCCAGAGGTATGTGGATGTCATGTTGTCATTTTGCAAGCACACAGCCTTGGACAGAAATCCATATAATTTTTGCCCAGTCGCTGACTTAGGTCTCTAAGAAATTTTCAATATGCTTTACTGTTTACTATGAATGCATTCTGTAGCAAATCTGTCAACTTGACATTTCCAGTTGTTGGTACTACTATTTGGTAGGACTCCTTGCGCGGGTGTTCAGCTCGTCACAAGGCCTCTACCTGTACACAAACACAGAAAAACGCACACACACACACACACACACACACACACACACACACACACACACAAACTAAACATCTATGCCCTGAGTGGGATTCGAACCCACGGTCCTGGTTTCCAAGCGAGCGAAGACAGTACATGTCTTAGACCGCTCAGCTATCGTGACTGGCTGTTTTAAATTGAATTAGCTTTATTTAATATTACTATTGCATATAAAAAGAAGGAGGGATGAGTTGAACTTGTAGCTGAAATGGGGTAACATGAAATGAATACAACATTTCAGTGGAGATAGACCATGAAAGAAGTTACTTGAAAGAATGAGCAGAAGGGAGGCAGTATTAATCCTTTATGGTTCGGAAACAGGTTTCGATCAAATGTCAGAGTGAGGCCAACAATTTAACATTCAAATAAAATAAACCTCATCCAAAATACACTATGCATGGTGGGATGTAAGGTAAACAAAATGTTGCCCCTGTTATTAATTAATTAGGCACTGTACCATGAAACCATATGGAGGAGTGGAGGTATAGTTCAACCATTTTTGACTTTGGCACTAGATGGAAGTGAGTGTTGAGCTTCACTCTCCTGCTGCTTTAACCCTGGGAAAAGGGCCCCCATACCCATTGGATAGGAGGCTGAGTGGGCCCCAGAGCTGGTGTGGACGCTGTGGAGAAGAGAATAATCTTGCACTCCTAGGGAATTGAACCTGGGCCATCCAGCCCATAGCACGTCCCTGTCCTGACTAAGCTATCCTGACTCCTGGTGGGATGTTATGTACTGAATTAAATATGGGGAGAGGGGAGGGAAAGCAAGTTTTAGAAGAATTATGTGATAAAATTCTGGGAATCAACGGTGGAGAATAAAACAGTGAGTAAAAGAATGTATGGTACAATTAAATTTAGCCAATTACATATACATAAAAGTATCAGCATCAGACATATTAAAATTAATACAATTAAAATCTTGTAAGAATTGCGCAGAATCTTATAGAAAAAGAAAAACAAATGTGACACAGACTTCTGGGTTGTAATGCCATGTAGACTGGTAGGAGTCTGCCCGTGTTTTAGAGGAATGCATCGGCTCCATTTTCAGGGACAAAGAGAAAGCCAAGCAAGAAACCAGCAATAAGCAGGTGGCAAGCAAAATCCATGTTGTTTTAAAATAAGGTTCTTGATAGTATACACGTGTCCAGGATCCGTTAGGACTCATTTTTTTAAATTTTGTCCTGCAATACCATCTGTTGGTGAGTTGTGGCGTTAAGATTCTTGGAAGTTTCAGCTGTGGTTCTCTATAATTTCAAAGCGCAAGTATCGCTGCATCATGTGTTCTGACCTTGAATGTTACAGTACTGTTCTGACACTTGTCGGAAAATGGCGGTTGAACAGAGAGCCATCATCAAATTTTGTTGGAAGTTAGGCAAAACAGCCAGAGAAGGGTACGAAATGATGAAAAGTGTGTATGGTAGTGATTGTTCGAGTCACTCAAACAATTTTTTATGGTATGCTGTATTTCGTGATGGCAGGGAGGACATTGAAGACGCTCCATGTGCATCAAAGCCGAGAACAAGTCGCACTGAAGAAAATGTTGGGGGGGGGGGGGAGAAAAANAAAAAAAGACCGAAATCCTTGCATCAGACAGATGTGTTTCTGCAAGACTCATCGAGGAGTGTAAACGCCTGTTGCTAGGTGGCCAGTTTCTAACACACACACACACACACACCAATGGACTAACCGGGAAGTGATGTTCTGTACGCAGTCCATTTGAAAGTTACATGATGCGACAATAGAAGAGCTGCTGGGAGAGGTTTTCTCCATGCTTCCTGTGCTGAGGTGTTGTAAGCAGGACAAGTCTAGAGTTGAGTTAGTTGTGAGACAGTTGCTGGCCAGTAAGGTTGTGAACAGAGAAGTTGAATGATATACAGCATTGAAAGCCGTTACCAGACAATGACTTGTGAAGATACAGCAGACTGAGAAGACTTAGTGCATGTTGTAGTCAATTGTAGACTGCATGAATTAGCAATAGTGCTATAATTACTTGTAATTAACTTCTGTAAGAGTTTAATAAATCCAATTACCAGTCCAAGCCCTGTCTATTGTTGTCCATACACATGACAATTTGGGTGATATAATTTCAATAAGCTAAATGATGTGGAAGCTACAAAAAAGTATCAGGTTGAGATCTCCCACTCAACAAGTTGGGTTAATGGAAATATCTTCAAACTTTAATTTAGTTTCAATTAATTTTTTGCTAATTCTTACTATTGGAATTGCTTTTTTGACAATTTCTGGTTGGAAATATCATCCAGAAAAGAACTAATTTGACTTTGTACCCTGACCCTTACACATTTTGGAGGCTGTGTCCAGTTTCAGGGTATCTTCTAGAGGGATTAAGTGATAACTTCACAGGCAATAAAAGTATCCCTTGGTGACAATTATTCAGGTATTCAAGAAATTTCCAGTTAACAGAGAACTGTAAGATTCATCAGTAACACACCAAAAGCCCAACACAAGACCTGTTCATATCCTCACAACATATTTGATATCCATTTAAGCATGATTATTGTCCTTCAGACTTCAAGTTGCCTCTTACCATGAGAATTTTCAACAGAAAAACAAGCGCATCACAATTTCCTTAAAAATAATAGGTGAAGACCAGGACTGTAAATAGGATAATTCATCGCCAGGTAGCTTCTTCCATTACAGTTGTCTCCCTCAGCACTCAGTTACAAACTACCCAGTGTGTCTGACAGCTATAATATGCATGGCTCACCTTCAGGAGGTGTTCGGTTCAAAACACGACTGAAGATTTCATGCTAGTTCAGAACTTTTGTGATTACATTTTGTTCCAGCAGACATATGCCAGGACAACACATTAAAATAATCCACAATCATTTGTACTGCATCAGTACAGATTAACCGATAACAAACCATTTTTCATTAGACACTGCAGTTGTTTGGGGAGAGGGTGGATGGCATGCAGTGGGTAATGGTACGCATGTCAATTTTGAAGTTCCAAGAAGTCATAAGCAACTGTACATTGAACTATAATGTAGCAGAAGTTTACAAAAACTGTTGTTAATTTTCAGTTGGACTGCTATGGAACTGCGCAGTTTTGATGCCCAGTTTTGTGTTTTTGCGGCTTGTGTTGTAAAGAAGACGAGAAAGAAAATTTTTGGGAAGTATCAGAAAAGCAAATAGTTGTAGACATAGTACATTCTCGTATCTAGTAACCCCTTCTCAATTTGCCAGGTTTCAGTTTTTGCTTATACATGTAGAGGTCAAATTAAGTTAATGGCGTCACAAGGGGTAATTGTAATCTGAAGATACTGTGATAATTTAAAGTGTAATTTTCTTTTTCTTTTGCTTGAAGTGCATCAAGTGCGATGTCTTTGGTGAACGTCTTTGACATTAAATTATGGGCAGGCCTAAATGACAGCACTATTCATTTATTGCATTATGGGTCGACTCAGCATATAACAGAAATGAGTACCAGCAATCTCCGTGGGTAAAAACGGCTGACGACCTCGCTGCCATCTGTGAGCAGATTGTCTAGAAAATGTGGCAGCCTTGACGGCCTGTTACAGGAATAGCTTTACTTATATATTCTATTGGCTTTTTGAGGGGAGGGGTTGTAGCACATATTCCATCCTACTCACTAGTAAATTTAAACTAAAGTTCAGTTCCTTCAAAATGATTATTTTTATGTTATTATGCTTTGCACTTTTGCAATTTGTAGTCTCTTTCAGTCAAAATATTTTTGCATTCCATTGTTCCACGTAGATGGCCAATGGTATATGATCTGCATGTTTCTTGTTTTTAGTAATTAACACTTTTTCTCTTAGAGATGTGGCATTGTTGTTTATACATGATCATATCAGTTAAATTTTCTTTGTGGACAAATGTTGTAAAATTGGAAAAACTCATTGCCTAACATTCTATAACAGTTCAAAGTCATGTGCATGCAGTTACTCCTCTCACCTCTAAAAGGTCATGAAATAAATTGAGTTCCATTTGTGAGTGTGGCATAGAGATAACAGAATATTGCCAGATAAAGGGGAATACTGAGGGACCTGGTTTTACAAGGTTTTACAATTCTGTCATTACACAACAACAGTCAAGGTCAACATTATCTTAGCGACATATTTTTGCTTTTAAAGGAGAATACCGATGGACTTGGATTTAGTTATTTATATAACAAGAAGCACTTTTAAAACATTTTAACATAGTGATTACACAACTGTTTATTCATCCAGCAGTTATATAATGTTAATGGACTTTCATGGCCAACAGTATTATAATATACGTATTTGTTTATATGTACCTAGCTTAACACCCAATGAGAGTTTGAAGGGAATATTCATCTCTATAAGATTTGTGCTATTAATTTCCCCTGCTTGCTGCTGTATACCTCTCAAGTTCTGTATGTTGTTGAGACTGACGTTAATGACATCTCTTATGAATAGCACATAACAAATAGTCAGTTTTAAACCATCTCCTTTATATGGCTTACTACACTTCACATAACTAACTCATGCAGCTGAACCATTCTTGAGAAGCTGCCGGTTGTGCAGCTACTCAAGAATTTCCCAACATTTTATGGAACAAATTCATTACCATGTTCACAAGCGCCCTCCACTGGTCCCTATCCTGTGACAAATCCAGTCTATACTGCCCCATCCTGTCTCTCTAAGATCCATCTGCTTGTTGGCAGGCCGTCCTCTCTTTTTGGTCATACCTCATGTTTGCTATCCAGGCATCCATCTTCACTTGGGGGGCTTTTACTGTGGATTTCATCTTATCTTGGTTGGCTTCGATCCGGACCTCAAACTTCTCATTATTGTCCTTTATCATGGCTTCCATCTTGACCAGCATTTCTTCTTTCATTTCCTTCAATTTATGTCTGTCTTGGCTTCCATTCCGGACAGAATTTCTTGGTTGGTTTTCATACTGGTGTCTGCCTTTGCCTGGTTGGCATCCTTCTGTCCCTTCATGGCCTTCATTCCTGCTTGGCTGGCTTCCATTTTGGAGGCTAGAGAACCTATCTGCGTTCCCATCCCATCTTGCATGGCTTTCAGGAGTTCCAACATTTGTTCTCCTTCCATAGTGTGGCGGTATAATTTCTACCGCGGTACTGAATCCAACAATTCGATCAATCCAATCCAACCAATTCTGACACAAGTTGGTATGTGTTAGACGGAGTTCGGGTTGGTAATCGGATTTATCAACAACAATACCACATGTAGGGTGGTACGTGCGACAAAAATGATGGGTTATAGCTCAGATGATTGGATTTATTAGCACCTCGGTTACCCATTCTCTAATAATTACACTTAAATACAGCGCTATCGCTGATTAAAAAACAAATACACACAGGTCCTCTCCTGGTACCACAGTTAACATACAGGAACTATAACAGTCTCACTAAATTACACACTCCCATTCCCACTGCACTATAACACTAGCACACATAAAGTTTTCATTTCACAAGTTAAATCTTTTTCAAATTCCAACTTCCGTGGCTGTCTCCTACCGTGAACGCCGAACTCAGAACTATGTCACTCACTTACATAGCCGAAGGACCGACACTGGCCAACAGTAAACACATATCACCTGACCCCTACCCACTGTTGCTCTGTGACGTCACCGCACAATGTTTATGTTAGTAAATTATAATTCACTTGGAAAATTAATTTAAATTTGGTTGAAAATACAAGGTAAGTTACTTAACATACCCCTCCACACAATAAAGTCCTAACCCTGTATGAAACTGTGTCACCGAATTGCGTCGAAATAGTGTTACGCGTACCGGTTGCAGGTACTGCTAATTCAGTCTCGGCCAGGAAGAGCCCCTCTCTGTCGCTTCCGCGAAATGTGTTTACACAGAACACCTTGGAAATTCCACTTCGTATTTTATCAGTGTCGGATGTTATGATTTGATTGTGAATAAGCAAAGCAGAGACCGTAGTACGTACAGTATCCGTTCAAAATGTAAATATTACGTTGTAAGAATGATGATAGGATACAGCAACCAAAAGATGAAGAAGACTGCTGAAATGAAGCAGTTCAGAATTTCTGTTTTTTTAACTTTGTTCATCGTTCGGTATTTTAGAAACTATGAAACAGAAAGTTTCTAGAATACTAGACGACAGACAAAGTTCAAAAACCCAGCAATTCTGAGTGAGTATTATACACAATCGACAGAACCCGTTAGAATATACTTGAAACAGTTCAACCTATTTGAAAGAGACATCTTATAAATTTTTAAATGGGTAACATTACACATTTAAGGATATGGAACAAAATACATCTTAAATCGTCCCGCAACAAGAATTACAACAGCAATGAATAAGCCGTGTGCTGATGGACTATCAGCTTCTGGCTTTGCATTGATTCCGAAGTCCTATTTGATGATAGGTTTCGAAGTTGTGGAGAACTACGAGAAGATGAATTCTGCTGATGCCTTTCTTCTCGGAACAATGCACAATGTACAACTTTCCCCACTTCAAGGCTGAAACTACGTATATAAGAACTCCGCCACACGGAAGCCACAGCGCAGAAGTCAGATGTTGCTGTGGCATATTGTGGCAGGTTTGTTCTGCGTCATCGCGACGCCAAGAGTGCAGTGTTGGGCAGTCAATGACGTGACAGTGGTAGAGGATGAATATGGGATACTTGGCAACCAGACCGTCAAGAGATATACCTTCTCCAACAGCAAAATGACAGTCCAGATCATTACGTACGGGGGCAGGATCTCGGCCATAAAGGTGCCTGATGCTCATGGAGGGACTCAGGACGTCGTCCTTGGGTTCGACAATTTGAAAGGTTCGTAAAAGGTAAAGTTGTTCTTGTGTTTAACTCATTAAGCACTATGCCATGAAGACGTATGCGAGAGAGGATGTATAGATCCACATATTCTTGACGCCGGCACTAGTTGGAGGTGAGTGGTCAGCTTCACGCCACAGCCGTTTTACCCCCAGGGAAAGAGCATCCGCTACCCATTGGAACTTGAAAGTTTCGTAGTTTATTTAATTGCGTTATATCGACCCTATAATGAATCTGAAGTTTGATTGACTGAAAGGTCATGGGTGACTAGCATAGATACCCACATGAAGTACAGTTCTTGAGAAACCAGTCTCGCTTAGTCATTTAAGAAAATGATATAAACAATGGGTTACAAATAGAACATGACTCGTACGAAAAGGGGCAGGTTTTGAGGTTGAAGGATCAGCATTCCTCTTCGAGTTTTGAAGTCCCTGGGTTCGAAACCCGGCCTGGAGACCGGCTATCCTAATTGTCTTCTGTGGTTTTGACTATTTGTTCCAGCCACATGCTGCAATAATATACTCGTATTACAATATGCTACAATATGTTTATCCAGAAGGTATTAATACAGAAAACGCGAAGGTGGGCTCTTTCATTCGTCCAGTATCGAGATTATGAATGTCAAGTTTTACTATGCTGTCACATGGCGCGGTGTTAATGAAAGAGGAAACATCCACTATACTTTGCCTAGGGTCATACTTAGGAGGGTCGCAAGTTCACAATTTTAATTTATCACGAAAAATCTGCGTCAAAGTATTAAGCCATTCAATGGAACGAACAGCTATTGTAAAGGGGTAGGGGGGCAAATACAGGTCTACCGGTTCTTTCTACGTACACGACCGAAGCGATAGCATAGATGAACCAAGGGACGTTTGGGGCGGTACAAATTACAAACTACTTCTTTTTTGGGTTTTCAGACTTTATCCATCGTCCTGGTTGTAAGATAACTAAGAAAAAACGCGACGTTTCGGAAACTGGATGTTTCCGTCCTCAGGTGAGGGAAAACACCTATTATGTTGGGTCCCTTAGAAAGAGCTAGCCTCAATCCAGTGATTGAGGACGGAAACAGATCCAGTTTCCGAAACGTCGCGTTTTTTCTTAGTTATCTTAAAAACCAGGACGATGGATAAAGTCCGAAAACCCAATATCTATGTGTGTTATACACCATCGTCAGAATCCTACAGTAATTACTTCTTTTTTACTTTTTATTACATAATTTCTGCAGTTCTCTTATGCACACTGTGACTACTGATTACCAATTTTCCAACAGTGTACATAAAACTGTCTTGAGAATTACGGAAATAACGACGGTGTTTGTCACAGCTTTCTTTTTTGGGGGGGGGGGGGGGGGGGGGGGGTGAGNGGGAGTACAATGTTACAGAATTTCATGTTTCTAACTGTAACAAAGTTCTGTGAAAGCTTATATACTTTAACTGAAATTCCTTGTCGTCAGAAGCGGTATTTATGCTTGCACTCGTCATGACTGTGTGGAATGCTCACGGTTAGTGAATACAGTAATAGGCATATAAGGCCATAGATAAGCAAGGACGCCTTATAACTTTCTCGACTATCTTTCTATGGCAGATCCACTTCAGCACCGGGAGCCACTTAAAATACACTAACAGCTCAAGCGATTAGTCGCTGGCTTCCCACCGCGGCGGCCCGGGTTCGATCCTGGGGTCTGGTCAAGTGGGATTTGTGACGGACAACGTGGCGCTGGGGCAGGTTTTCTCCGAGTACTTCGGTTTCCCTTGCCAATCTTCATTCCACCAATTGCTCCACAATCACCCTCACCGATCATCTGGGGCTGGTACAATTGGCCAGAAGTGGCCGCAGTACAAGGGACTTAGTCCCACCCCACTAGCAATAAAAAACCCTCCAATTTTACAAATATTCGGTCAACAAAATACTGTCATGTTTCCGCGGTTTGCGTGACTAACAATACGGGGTTTGGATTTGTTGATCGAATTCATTGGACCTTTATGCAACTGGTTATAACAGTTCACAAATCACTATCTGACACACTGTCATCTTCTTCCGGCTGTGGACACACCACGGGAACTCTTCTGACTTCAAAATGAACTGAACCGTCAATTATTGTTGGCTTCTCGTTATGTAGACTAGAGTCGGGCCACAACGTAGAAAACACATCCGTTGCCTAACAGTGGATAAATGCGAACCGCACTGAAAAAACCTCTTACGACGTCGGTTCTATAGTTGCGTGCATTCCCTAGAAATGGGTATACTCTATTGTTGATTGCGTATTTGTTGCGGACTTGTTTACCGAGTCGTTCCCTAGCAATGGATCTACATGTCACAAAACATTGTCTTAAAGCATCTGAAACACTGATATCCCTTTCTGACATGTGTAACTCACTTTTGCCACAACAGATATATACGGGCCCTTGCACGGTCCCACCTAAGTCCCTCAAATCCGTCACATATTCTGTTGATGCCTTTGTGTCATTTGTGGCGTACAATAGTCTCAAATTTATGCATTTCTTTTTAAATTTCATCCCAGAATTTCTAGCCCTCCATCATGGCTTCCAGGTGAATCATCATATGTTGATTCTGAATTACATTTCTTTGCTACTTCTTTTGTTTAATGCAGCTCATTTCAAATTCATTACTGTTAATTTTAGCAAATAAATACGGGGGTTGGAACTTCAATAGTGGCAACTATTTATTTACAACTGATACAATATAGATACATGTTTCGAAGTTTTACTGTCCTTCACTGTAGTCACCAGCAGTGTGTACAACCCGTTGCCAGCGATGTGGAAGTCGTAGGATACCTTTAGCAGCGCCTGTTATGTTGATAGTTCGAATGGAGCGGTCTACTGCCTGAAGAATCTCTGGAACAGTTCTGAAGCGAATGCCACGAAGTGGTTCCTTCATCTTATGAATCAAGTCGAAGTCACAAGGGCTTAATTCCGGGGAGTATGGTCGATGGTACAGCACTTCCCAGCCCCATCGATGGAACAAATCAGCCACAGCTTGCGCTGCATGCGGCCGAGCATTGTCCTGTAAAATGATGGGTGGGTTCTGCAGAAAGTGTCGCCGCTTCTTTCTCAAAGCTGGTCGCAGGTTGTGTTCCAAAAATGAACAGTAATACTGCGCATTGATGGTCTGCTGTCAGGGAACGGTATGCGTTAGGATAACACCATCACAGTCGTACACGAGAATCACCATAACTTTCACATTGCTGGGGTTCTGACGAACTTTTGAATTTCGTGACCCGTAATGACGCCATTCGTTCGATTGGCGTTTCATTTGTGGCTCGTACGATTTGGCCCATGTCTCATCCAGCGTAATGATACGGCATAAGAAAGCCTCTCCGTCAAATCATGCGGAACCCATCGGTACGCAATTTTTCTAATGCCCAGGCGTTCCTTCAGAATGTGAAGCAGTCGTATGCACTAATCCTCTGTCTCCGGGCCAGCTTACGAATCATATGGCGTCGATCACTCTCCAGTAACGCGGAAAGAGCATACATTTCTTCTTCATTGACACTAGGACGACCTGGCCGACGCATGTCTGCCACATTTTGGCGTCCCTCGTTGAAGGCTTTTACCCACCTTGCCATTGTTCTGTAAGGCAATACAGATTCCCCGCAAGCCTCTTGAAGACCTTGATGACACTGTCGTGCTGTACGGCCTCTGGCACATTCAATCTTTATCCAACTCCGTTGTTCCTGTTTCGAAAACATCGTGACAACACTACATTAGACCGTCAGCTAACACGATGCTCTGTTCTACTCGTCACTGCGCATGCGCGTGACGTGGGAAGGGAGAGTCCATTTGCTCTGAGGTAAGGTAGGTATGCAAACTAACGTGTGGTATAAGCGACAATATTTGGTTCCGCTGCATGGCGTCTCTACAGCAGTGTTGCCACTATTAAAGTTTCAACCCTTGTATGTTATGTCTGCAATAAAATTACAAATATATATATAAAGGTAACGTTGTCCCTGAGCTTAGCCAATTAAGCACTACACCACGTGTGTGTGTCTATATATATATAACGTAAGTAAAGTAAAGTAAAGTAAAGTAAAGTAAAGTAAAGTAAAGCTATCCCTGTACCAGGCTGTGAAGGCCCATAGGGTTGTAAGACGTTGAGGGTCCCACATTATCTAGACAATCGGCTCAAAGATGGCGGTAAGGTATATATACATAAAGAGCCGGGATAGCGCATTCAGTATAGCGATTGGATATGGGGTGGATGACCAAAGGGTCGGAGTTCGAGTCCCGGTGGGGTCAAGAATTTTCACTTCTCCATGTCGTCCAGACTGGCTCTGGGGCCCACCCAGCCTCCTATCCAATGGGTACCGGGGGCTCTTTCACAGGGCTAAAGTGACTGGTGTGTGAATCTGACCACTCACTTCCAACTAGTGCCAGGCTCAAGAAAACGTGGGTCTATACATCCACTCGTGCCTTCATGGTGTAGTGCTTAATTGGTTAAGCATAGGGACAACTTTAATCTGAGATAATCGCACCAGGGTGTGAATTCAAAGCAGGAAGTTCCTTCAACATTGGTAGTCACCTGTGAAATTATGAACTGCCATAACAATGAAGACCACAGTCTAAATTTCTATGACCATAAAAACCTTAACAGATATACATAAACTCACTTTTGTGTATTGAATTACTTTAAATAAATGCACCACTTTCATACAATATTCTGTGTCTACATTACATTTGGTTTAAGTGGGGAGACAGATGCCACATTCATTGCTGTTCAAAATCTTCTAGCTCAGACACCAATACAGATCATACAATACACCTTTATGATTTATACAGGTAATGTAAAAGAATCACTAATGAAGTTTTATTTTACTGTTTCCCAGCATGGCTGGCATAAGCCTAAATGCTGCCCAGCTGATGATAATCTTCCCCATTGAAAGAGATCTTCTCTGCCAAAACTTTACAATAGCTGGTAACATGAAATTCCAGATACTATGGTAAAAACCATCACTAGCATCATAATTCTTAAAACTCCACAAAGCTCTCATTAGATCTGTAATGACTTACGCTAGTCCCACCTGGGAATTTGTAGCAGATGCCCATCTAATGAAACTGCAGCATCTACAAAACAAGGTTCTCTGCACTATTGGCAGTGTTCCAAGGTACACACTGGTTCGCGTTTTACACATGGCTTTCAAAATTCTGTACAAGCAAAGTCATATAAAATCATGATAACGAAAATGTTTGCAATATTGGACAAGGCGAAGCGTGACACAGAAAGTACAAGAGGCTTAAACTTGGCGGTGGTCAAGCATATGACCGTTCAAGTGACTAGACTGCCATTGTAGTGGAAGCTACTAGAAATAGGGCATAATCTGCTGCACTGAGCCTGGACTGACAGAGGCCCTGTATGCATTTTATATACATTTATCAACATGTCCAACATGAAAAATGTAAATATCCTTTACATTATGACAAATGACTTACTGCTGCATACAATGACTCTGAAACAAAAGACAGACCCATCATCTCATCAGAGAGGGTGCCCCACAATAACAAGACTGAAACTGTCAGACAGTAATAAATATCTGGTCATAAGCCCCAGACTTGGCTCAACACCAAGACTGACTGACTGACCGTCAGTTGCAATGTGACTTTGACTTCGACAATGAATCAGTTACCTGTGTGGAGGCGATGTCGAATACCTCCACCGTAGCCCTGTGAGTTGTAGGATGCAACGAAAAGGGAACCCAGTGACTGGGGATATAATCGGGCCACCTTGTTCCTGGGGATAGAAATCCAGGGACCTGGCCCTCCAGGTTGGGGGAGTCTCAAATCTGAAGCAGTAAAATATGATCATGTGTCTCACGGGACTCAGACCTGAGAATGACTGCACTGGTGAGGGTCAACAGCAATTGTAAATGATAGACCCATCCTCTCGTCAGAGAGGATGTTACATAAGGACTACAACTGCAAGAGTACTGTTGGGAAATAAAATTACTGGTCATAAGTCTCAAGGGGCTTGTCGCCAAGGCGAACTGATTGGCGGTAAACTGCCAGTCATAAAGTAACTGTGACTGTGATTTTGACAATGAGCCAGTTGAGTTCTGCAATGGAGGCTGAGAAGAGATGGCGTTATAATTAAGTGGAATTAACGAGTTGTGGGATATTCGCCGGATAGTAATGACATGAGCACAGAAGCTTATGAATCTCCATTGCTAGCAAGTGACAGCAGGCTGAGAAGGCTTAGTGTGTGCTCTAGTGATTGGTAAAGTGTGTAGATCAGCAATAGCGCTGTACTTGCTTGTAGTTCTGAGATGTGTGTATGAGTGGTCAGTAAATGTACTCACCAGTTCATACCTCATCTATAGTCACACACACACCTAAATCGTAACAAAATTAATAAGATGATGCAGAAATAATTTTTTATGCAAAAAACAGAAAAAGGGACTGTAAAATGTTCTGACCCAGGATACAATTTAGTTTTCCAGCTCTGCTTCCCAGGAATATGTCCATAACTGTTACAACGTCTAATTGATTATGACTGTCTAGAAATATGTAAATATAACTGACATACTCGTATTGAATTCACGCCAATGTTGGAGGTGGGTGCTTTTGTATGATGTAATAAATCAAACACATATAAATAAGATTGATATGTAGTGATTTTTATACAGTTGGTTTACATTAAAATGATATATGGAGAATAGAACACTTATAAAAATGTTTAGTTAGTTTCTTGGGCTGGGGTGAGACTGAGTCCACTTGGTATGTCACCCATTAACTGGCCTATTGTACCAGCCCTGGATGATAGAAGATGAGTGGGCAGCAGTCAGTGGAATGAAAATTCGCACGAGAAGCTGAAGTAATTAGAGAAAACCTGCCCCAGCACCACTTTGTCCACCACAAATCCCACATGATCTGACCTGGGATCGAACCCAGGCCACCACGGCATTAAGCAGTGACTTGTGGGAACATCTCACATTATCACACATTTTCTGCAACACACACTCTTCACATCACTTTTCACCATCACGCGCGCTAACCAATCAAATTGCTTCAAATGTTCGCATTTATACTACGCTCGCTGCTAGCCCCGCATCTACATCATCACGCGTGCTAGCCAATCAGCGCCCTGCAAATTCTTCCTCCTCAATTTCAAGTTTCTCTCCGCCCACCGAGCAGTGTATAAAAAGGAGCAGCCCCAAATTGGCAGCATCAGTCTGACTTCAGTCTTCGATCAAGCTACATCAACCAGCACATTTCGCTGCCGGCGCTTGGTCTTCGGAGGCATCGGGAGGCTGCACGAGGCATGACTGCCTCGGCCCTCCGGCTCTCACACCCGACGCACTGGGGCACCTCGCCTGGACTCGCCGGTGGTCGTGTCCCTGTCCGACCCACTGGGCATCTGGCATAGACACTGCCTTTCTGCTCCAGTGACCACGCAACCTCCATCACCTGCCACACGGCGATCAAGCAACGGCCGCACTGCGGCCCGTCCACACACCGCAACCAACATCCCTTCCTCCCGGCACGCGCCGCGTTACTTCACCGGTCAAGCATCTCAGCAATCACGGTCCTTTTCAGGACCAACAAACTGTTCTGAAGAAGTGGGTTGTCATCAGAGTAATGACGAACAACAAAGACAAAACCCCACAGACTAAATGCCTGAGCTATGGCGCAGACAATCCCTCTCAACTTAATGTTCATAATGATGACATATACTTTGATGTTAAAAAAAGGTTTGTACATGCTGTAATGTAATTAAATAATCAATAAATCAGCCCTCATTGTACTTGTAACTTGTGAATGGGGAATACTCATATATGTGGCCAGAGTTGCTGAATGCCAGATATGTGAAAAATTCTGAAAATGACACATTCAAAAAGTCCGTCCACTTTTCAAGACCTTAAGCCCTTTCTGCCCTGTTCTTATGTACAAATGATTCTCACTGCACACTGTGATAATTGGCTTTAATTAGAAGAAGAAATTTACAGTGGGGGGGTACGGGGGTGGTTGGCAATCTGTTGCTAAAAACTAAATCTTTAAGGCTTACTTTCCTTTATCAAACTCTCAATCCCACCCCCAAAAATCCTGGACGGTATTGTCTATGTATGTGTCTGCTAGAATCTGTATAAATTGGTTCCTTCCTTTGCAAGGCTTCCTGCAGAAGAATGACCCCTACTTTGGTGCTGTTATTGGAAGAGTGGCAAACAGAATTGGAAGTGCAAAATTCACTCTTTATGGAGCTCAGTACAATGTGACACCAAATGAAGGTCAAAATCAGCTGCATGGTGGACTGAGAGGTTTTGACAAGGTATGTATAGTGAAGTGGAAGACTGATTGAAACCATGTTCAGACTGCTATATTCAGTTACTGATGTAAGGATTGATTGAACCTTGGATTTCCCAAATATGCTGTAGCATTTGTGACCACTACAGGATAACTCACAGTCAGTGACAATGGTGAAAGCAACTGAGACTATTTTCCTATTAGACAGTGAGATCACATGATTTTATTGTTCTTAAAAAGAATTTCCAGGAAGAACTTATGTCTGTTTGTTCTGAAGTATTCCTCCTATACAGAGAACTCCAAAGAAATTATAAAGTCATAATTAAAGAGATTAATGATTTGTATGCACAGTTTATGCTAGTATAAATATCAACTATCTGGAAATACTCAAACATCATAGTATATCAAACAGAAAAGTGAACAGGGATTTTAGATGTTATTTAAAATTTTATATGAAACTAACCTTAACAAAATCGCATATATTGAATGAATGGCATCAATGGGAGGTAGACAGAACTGGCTCAAAATCATATTCAGTGGCAGGATTTAGTATCTGTAGTGTTGCACTTAAGGTTCTGCCACCAGTGATTTAGTTGGTTTAGCTTAGTCATATTAGTACCTCCCATCTCAGAAGTTCACAAAACACTGTATTGGTATTATTTACAGTATTTAATCAAATTCAAAAGTAATTGATTTGTAATGGCATCATGTTCATTCTTTCTCATGGAAAAAAGTTAAAGGGAGGCTTACATTCATGCCATCTATATACAGGCATTTGCATATGAACAATAAATGCAGGAAGCAACCAACCAATATTCAATTCATGTAGGCTGGGGTCCTGTACATATATTTTAGTGGCCCTAATTTAAATACTGTTATGCACATGGGCTCACTGGATACTGAATATGAATGGAATCTGAAAAGATTGGGGACTGAAATGCAAAATGAACTTAGTTATACCCATTATATTATAAAAGATGTGAATTTAACATCAGAGCCCTGGCACCAATGTGGCCCAGTTAATCTGAGCTTGCAACAGACAAGTCAGTTTTTATAAGCCACTTTCCAGGCTAGGCATAATACAATGATTTAACATTTTCATACAAGTCAGTAATGTGATGTATGAATGTTATCAGGTTGTGTGGGAGCCATTTCTACACAAGAAGAAGCTGACCCTGAGTTATGTTAGTGTGGACGGTGAGGAAGGATTCCCAGGAACAGTTATCACCCATGTCACATACGAACTCACGCCTGACAATGAGCTGATCTTCAGTGTGAAAGCCGCTACAACAAAACCCACACCTATTAACATCGCAAACCACGCGTACTTCAACTTGGCTGGTCATGTAAGGCTCCTTCTTACTCCATCTACCTAATATAGGGCCAATATGAATGTTACTTACTTACTTACTCATGGAGCTGAGCCCTTCTGGAGGAGCAGCCAATTCTGCAGCTACTCAAGAATTTCCCAGCATTTTATGGAACCCGAAGGTTCATTACTGTGTTCACAAGAGCCCTCCACTGGTCCCTATCCCGAGCCAGATCTATCCAATTCATACCATCCCATCCTATCTCTCTAAGATCCATTCTAATATTGTCCACCTACCTACACCTTGGTCTTCCCTGTGGTCTCTTTCCTTCTGGCTTTCCCACCAATATCCTATATGCATTCCTCGTCTCCCCCATTTGTGCTACATGACCTGCCCTCCTCATCCTCCTTGACTTGGTCATTCTAATTATACTTGGAGAAGAGTAGAAGTTATGAAGCTCCTCATAATGCAGTTTTCTCCAACCTCCTGTCACTTCATCTCTCTTTGGTCCAAATATTCTCCTCAACATCCTGTTCAATATGAATGTTAGAGAATATAAATTGAATTAGGCACTTCATCTTCAGACAGTACTGTATATGGAATTACATATAATAGGAGAAGTCTTGTCTTCTTGAATATAATGTCATATAGCCCAGTGAAAATCAGATGATGTTTCAGAGAAATATATTGCCTGCATCTGCAGGGTCACTGGTCTTTCCCTGAGGTTTTCCAGCTGAAGCTTGTTTGCATTTCCTGTCCCCACAGTGTGTGTTCCTTGATCTAGCCATCTTGTCCATCCTGAGTTAATTGAACCTGGTGGCTTTACTCAATAACCCCCAGCAATATAGGGTAAATAGTAAAGACAAGCAGCGGCACGCACACAGGAAGACTACACAGAATAATACCTGTACAGTGTGGAAACAAGAACTAGCCGCTCCAGCACTTTAGACATAGGGCGAGTAACCCTAACAATTTTAAATTTTAAATTTAAAATTTAGAGAAAATTTTAAAGGATTTTAAAATCATAACTAAAGATTTTATAGTGCTACTACAGGAAAATCAAATTTGACGTGTGCAATATAATCTACATACCAGACACATATCAACGAGGTAGATGTTGATAATACGAAGAAAATAACAATGTGTTTTTAAATGTTAAATTTTAGACTGGGTTCAGTGTGGCAGCAACGTTAAGAGTATACATCTGATGATGGCCGATAGAGGCCGAAACATGTAGTGTAGAAGAGAACAAGATCAAAGACATATAATATATATTGTTTGCACTTGGGACGGAGTTTGTATCATTTATCGTGTAGAGTGCAACAGGATGCTTAAATATAATAATATAGAGTAAAGTTTACAAATGGCGAAGCTACACAGGAGGTAATTTTCCCCATTTTCTTAAATGTGTTAAAGCTATCTTCACGAGCCATATTAATATGGCATAAACATTTCGTACCTTCAATTTTTGTTCTTCCCTCAACATGAGAGGCCAAATTCCAGATCACTGCAGAAGTATGGACAGAATTACAGCAAAATATGACTGCTATACTATATACTGCATCTTTCAGAAACACATGATTTGGGGGCCTTATGACAAAAAACTGATCAGCTCTATGTTCATTGTAATTGGTTCTCAAAAACTGAAAATTAAGTAAACAAACCTGGTTAATGTAACAGATCCAGATGGGGCAGGTCGAGTTCAATCCCTATCAGATGCAATGTGATTTTTCTCTGTATCTGCAGGCCATTCTGCCTCTTATGAAACATGGACATGGAGTTGACTTCTGTAGGGAAAAGGCTGTTGAAGTGTGATACTGACACATTCCTTTTCTACTGTTCAAATGTGAAACCATATATACTTTAATGACATAATGTTTAGCCAAGAAATAGGTTTACTTTTATATTACATACTGAGATTATTTAGTATCAATCACTTGTTGTTCCAGGCTTCTGGGCCTAATGGTCTGTTCCAACATGTGGTGTCTATTAATGCAGATTTGTACACAGCTACTGACAACCAGAGCATACCAACAGGTGAATATAAGTGCACATGTATCATCTACCTCATGCACATTTAACTGTTATTTCTCAAACATGACTGTCTTTGAAGAAAGCAGTCTTCTGGGATTTGGCACCGTGTATATGTGGTGTTAACCGACGTTCCTCTGAAACGTCGGTTAACACCACATATACACCGTGCCAAATCCCAGAAGACTGCTTTCTTCATAGTCACCGCCGTGAAAGCCTCAAATCTTACATGACTGTCTTTCTCCAAACTTCCTATCTTATAAAACAATGTGGCGATGGATGTAGCAAAATCCCACATGTTAAGAAGTAAAATGGTGTTTCATATTTCAGTGTGAGGTTTACCAGTATGAAGTATTAACAAGGTTGGTAATGTGTGCAGTGTCTGAGATATTTTATGTATGTGCATTCAAGAAGTATCTCATGGTCATTATCTTAAAAACAATGTGAATGATTCGAACATAACACGAAATATTCACTTCATCAGAGGCTACAACAATCATCTGAAATACTGCTCATTTAAGTATATATGTAAAAATATAATCAGACCTTCATGTAAAATGTGAAACCGTACATACATACATATATAATATACACCAATATTCAATGTTAATTCAAACATTTTAGTAAAAACTTAGAACAGTGAAGATATTTTTATCCAGAAGACAGATGACTGGATGTGGATGGAAAGACAAACACAATGAGCAGAACAGGTGGTCATAAATGTCCATCACATACACAGTGTGTCCAGGATCAGTTAGGACACATTATTTAAAATGTTTCTCTGCAATGCCATCTGCTGGCAAGTTGTGGCGTTAAGATTCTTGAAGTTTTAGCTGTGGCTGTCTATAATTTCAAAGCACAAGCATCGCTGCATCATGTGTTCTGACCTTGAATGTAACAGTACTATTCTGACACTCGCTGGAAAATGGTGGTTGAACAGAGAGCCAACATCAAATTTTGTTTGAAGTTAGGCAAACAGCCGGAGAAGCATACAGAACGATGAAAAGTGTGTACAGTAGTGATTGAGTCGCTTGAACATTTTTCAATGGTATGCTGTATTTCGTGATGGCAGGGAGGACACTGAAGACGCTCCACGTGCATCAAAGCTGAGAACAAGTCGCACTGAAGAAAATGTGAAGAAAGTGACTGAAATCCTTGCATCAGACAGATGTGTTTCTGCAAGACTCATCGAGGAGCTCTTGGGAATACCAAAAAGTACTGTGCATCAAATTTTGACCAAGGATTTGGGCAAACGGAAGGTCTCTGAGCGGTTTGTAAGCACACATGCTGTCAGGCGATGAGAAACATGCCAGAGTGGAACACTGCAAAGACATGTTACGTTCGGCCCAAAGTGATGCAAAATTTACAAAATCGATTGTTACTGGTGACGAGATATGGTGTTTTCAATATGAGCCTCTCACAAAGCGGCAGAGTGCAGCGTGGTTGAGCCAAAAAAGCTGAAAACAAAGAAAGTGTGCATGCAAAAAGGCGAGTAAAGACACTGCTAACCATTTCTTCGATTCCAAAGGAATCATTCATAAGGAATTTCTGCCAGAAGGTCAAACAGTGAGTTCTGATTCTTATCTCTGAGTCCTCAATCATCTGTGGGCAAGAATTCTTCAAATTCGACCTGAATATCAAGAGCAAGGTTCCTGGTCGCTCCTCCACGATAATGCCACACCCCACAAATTGAAGTACAGGCGTGATTTTTTGGCCAGAAAAGGGATCACAGCATTTGATCATCCTCCGTATTTGCCAGATTTGGCTCCAGCAGATTTCTCATTGTTCCCAAGCGTTAAGTTGGCGACGAAAGGAAACTGTCACGACACCATCCAGAACACCAAAGGGAGTCTACCACAGTTTTAAATGCGATTCCACAAAAGGAGTACAGTGACTGTTTTAGGAAACTTTTCAGTCAATTTCAGCTATGTATTGATTCAGAGGGAGACTATTTTGAATAAAAATAGTGAAATTTCGAAAGTAATTCACATCTTGTACTTTTAATGAACACAGTCCTAACAGAACCTGGACACACTGTGTACATCATAAAGAATCCACAACAGCACTCATTTTTCTGTTGCAATGTGAGATGCATCACAAGAACTTTTCATTTTTTGTGGAAAATCACTAGGGTACTAATCCTGCAGAGTAGTTCTTGCTACAATATCTCAATGGGGGACTGTTTTATACTTTACAATATTGATTTCTGGATGTTTTTAGCATGGGAAATAGGAAGTTCCTGTGGAAGTGACTCGTACCATCTAGCAGTTTAGGTTCCAAAACAAACTTAATTCCTTGAGGGGCAGCTGTTGCAAAAATTTGGATGGCTGATGAGTTTGTCAAACATTACACAGAATTAAAATCTTTGATTTCTTGCAATACGAACAAAGAGATGGATGGAGATACTTCATCAACAGAGGAAGATGCAATAAATAATACTAAGACATGCAGAAGAAGGGTTATAATAGCAAGATCAACATAGTAAACACAATCAATCATACAACCATACTTCATGGGAAAAGTAGAAAAGAATTGTGAATGTCTAATGCTGCTAAGTGCCCAAACACAACAATAATAACAATGCATCTTGATACTGCCCTCAGTACCCAAATGCATACTTGTTTATGTCAGAACATTATTTATTTCTTATCATATCATGAATGTGCAAGTCATTTTAATTACAAATCTTTTTCATAGGAAGATGAAAGTAAAGAAAAATAATATTTTTATATTATCCAAGTTCATATTCTTTTAGGAAAGAATAACTCCATAAGCATTTACGTATTCTTCATTATTTGGTATTGAAAGAGACAGGCTGTATTTCTCAATTCCCAGCAACATAGTACCATTTCCCTCTCAATGTTATCATGACAAACTGTGGCAGAACGTGGAACCTGCACTGTACCTGACTCTCAGAACCCATGCTGGGTAACTGTGAACTGGATGTCATATTTTGCCTTTGATAGCTTGACAGACTAACTTTCCTTAGTTTGGGTCCAGCAACACAAGGGCTGAAGCTGTGAAATCATGTGGGCTTTGTGCTAATTGCTTACTTCATGGGAAGAAACAGATGGGTATGGAACATTAATGAAATGATGTATCATAAGGGAAGGCCAACATGTACACTTTTCTTGAAGAAATGTCTCCATTTCAGGAGAACTGGTGACTGTTGCTGGTACAGACTTGGACTTCCGTACCCCACATCAGATAGGACCATTGATACAACAGAGAGGTGGCTATGACAGCAACTACTGTGTAAACACAGATGGACATGTTGGTCTCGTGTTTGTGTCCAGGTAAAATGAAATTAAAATTCCTTTTCTTGATTAAGCAGTTGAACATATTATATGTGTAGAATAAAGGAAAAGTATGATGTACAAATACATTCAATTAATTCTTTGGATGGCAGAAATCAAAGAGGCCAATAAATTATTATTTAGCATTAGTATGGAGACAGTGTACTTATCTGATTTTATTGGGAAGCTTGATGGTTGACTGATTTATGGGTTATTAATGATTTATTTACTGATGCTGTCAGGAGCTAAAACAATATAAAACCAAATGGGTTGGATGATAAGTAAATAATGAATTGAAAATGATGTGGAAGGAAGCGGTTGTAGCCTAATTCGAGGTACGAATCCAACATTTGCCTGGAGGGACAGAGGGTCACCATGAAAAACTTGTCAGGACAGCCAGTCTCTGGGACATCCTAAGTATGAAGGAGGAGTGCTGCTTACTCATTCAGGATATTCAATTGATAGATGATGAATGAGTTAAGTTTCCCCACAGTCATCCGGTAGCAACAACATATGATCAAAGGCCTCTTATGAATTCATGGTGTAGTTAGTTAGCACTCCTGTTTCAAGTTAGGGAGGTTTGAATCTTTGTCTGGAAAACAGCTGACTGTTTTTCATGGTTTTCCAAAATCTCTCATGAAAATTGTTAGGATTAATACCTTAAGGAGGACACAAAAGTTTGTAATCCATTGTTCAGATTCATTTCGCCTCTGAACGGTGAATAATCTGCATCTGACAAAGCATCATAAAAAACCAAGACACATACAAGGCTTTTCCTTTTTCTGGTGGAAGATGCCAATATTTGTTTGGAGTCTGTAATAGAAAAGAGTGATAACAACACTATTTAGCTATGTAAGATTTGAGGCTTTCATGGCGGTGACTATGAAGAAAGCTGGGGCAAGCTCCCTTCCCCTACCCCTCCCACACCACTGCTTTCACTTGTATACTTGCCCTTCCCCCCTTCCCTCTCTGCTCTCACATAGCTGTGTTATTTCCAGTCTGCTTTTACCGTTCTCACGGTCTTGTCGCTTGCAGATTTCTTATACTTTTTCTTCTACCCTGAAGATGGAGGCGATACGTTCCTCCGAAACGTCGGTTAGCACCACATATACACGGTGCCAAATCCCAGAAGACTGCTTTCTTCACTATTTAGCTAATTTCTATTGCATTAAATTACTGTATAGACAGACCACTGGTACAACTTACCAGAGGTCATGAATTGCAAATACTAAGTAATTAATGAGAAATTTACATAGTTCTCCCACATACAGAAATATGGCAACAGCACTCAGAAACCTATTTCATCAAAAGAAGAGAAAAAACTGCTTTTTGAGACATACTGATAATAAAAAACTGCTGAATTCTGTTCAGACCAATCAATGGCATCAATAATAGATGCCATTACTTTAATTATAATAATAAATGAATTTTCAAATGAAGTTTGTAATATGAAAGCGGTTCCTAAATGTTCTTAAAGTTTAATTTAATATGGTTTCAGAGTTGTACATCCTGAATCAGGGCGTTATCTGGAAATCTATTCAGATCAGCCAGGCGTTCAGTTCTATACAGGAAATGGTTTGCCGCAGCAAAATTCTGTGGATCCACTAACTGGAAAGGGTGGAGTGAAGTATCACCAGTATGGATCATTTTCCCTCGAAACACAGAACTACCCAGATGCAGTTAACCATGTAGGTACCCAAACACTGTCTAGTGTATTCCCTCTGTATAACATACAGTTTATGCTTTGACTGATAAGTCAAATTTTATCTAAGCCCTTATGGAAAACCGATTTAATGCTAGGCCCTGGTATCTCATGCCAGAGATCTTGGGATTAGGAGTGGGTGCTTCTTCTGGATATGAGGAAAACCACAAGTTTGGAATTGTATGCATAGCAGAAGAAGTTTGGAAAGTTTGCCCCATTTTATTTAATGACCTCAAAACCTGTAAAATTTAGAAAAAGTATATTCACCTGTTTCATGTCTATATAACTTCTGTTAAAACAATTCTTGCTCTGGAAAATATTAGCGAGTCCTCACATAATGTGACTCACACTGTATAATTTTGTGGGCAGATACTTACAAGAAGGGGTGCATAAAAGGAACCGAGTCATAGCCAAATGGGGGGGGGGAACTGACAAGAAACAGCCCTTAGAAAGGGCACACTGTTTATTAATCTAGGTGGGAGGTGCAATATTGAGAAAGGAGACGTCTAGGGATTCAGTGTTATTTTACAGAGAAATATGAAGTATGGACAGAACTGGCCCACACAGCCAGTAAATTTTAATCTCGGGGTTGGAAGGTAAGGACCCTCTTCAGGGCCCCAGCAGAAAGGAAGTGGGAAACAATCCTTTGTTCAATTGAAGGCCTGGGTAGAGGAGTGTCATATAGGGGGAAGCCACTGATGTGTCCCTGGAGAGGAACTATTTCTTCATTCATTTCAGAGAGTGGATGAGTTACCTACCATCCCTACACCTCATCACCATGAAAACCTTAACTCACATCCTGTGAGTTATGCTCACATTCCATGCAGGAATATATGTACTCCTTCACGTAAAGTGTTCATTATAAATGTCTGAATTTAATCAAATTTGGACTGTGTTGACAAATCTCACTAAAACTCCAAAATACTGAATTTAATTAATTTTTGTTCAGTGATTCTTTCAATGAGGGCAACTGACAAAAATCTATGAACACTGTTAAAATATATAGCAGTTTGTATCAAGTGAATTGAGGTTAGAGCAATAATTCTGTACATATATATTTGAATGCACATCATTATCATAATCAAAGTTAGATAAGTGGTAAGCAAAGTTAGAGTCAATGAAAATATGAGGCTGTATTTTGTATGTACCTTCCATGAAGATTTCCAGTACTGTTCTGTTAACATCATGTTGATGGATTTTGTGGCTCAATAAAGACAGATGGTAATTTTCTTGAACCAAATTATGTATTATAGAGAGCTATATTTTTTTCACATTTTATTCAGGTGTCATTTCTTCCCCCTAGCTGGCACTTTAGTAATACTGCAACAGGAGTGTAGTGTCTCTATAGGATTCATAGTTAAGTGAGGGGTTTTCCTGAATGCCTAAAGACACTGACCTTCTGACAAGAACGAAGAACCCCACATTCAATGTGAGAAAGCCCATTTGGTAGAATTCCATTTAGATTCAACAAAGGGGTGGTGATAAAGGTGATGTCCAGTAGAGTGAACATCAAGCATTTTCTTCAGTCAACGTCTAGACTGCTGATTTAATGAAGCATCAGACTACAACACACTTTTCTGTTGCAGCGAAACTTCCCCAGCAGCATTCTGAACCCTGGCACTATCTACTCACACACTACCATATACAAATTTGGTACTACTGCTGAAGAGAGAATGAGTTGTCACAACAGCAAGTATAATTAAAAAGTTGGCTCAAGATATATCTTCTGACTTTTACTGGAAGGCGACTGGTTCAATTCTTGCCTGGGGCAACAATTATTCTGACTGGAGCTTTTTATGGTTTCATTCAAACTACAAATTTATAAATTAAATAATTAATTAACTAAAAAGGCATGTTTAAATCTACCTTTGTCAGATGAATTTTGTAATATTTCTCTGGAAAACTATTACTCTGTTTCCATCAATATAATCTGTGTATAGATATAGTATATGTTAAAGATTTACAACATGTTTCAGCCATTTGGCCATCATCATATATTGTCCCTGCACCCTGACTTACCTGCTCTTTTCCCTACATTGGCAAATGTTCACATATGGATGTATTTTGTGTTGTCAGTCATTTACATATTAGTGCAATGCCCTTGTACTGATTTCAGTTGCAATAAATGAAATATCAAAATATTAAATACATTTCTAACCTGTAGTGTACACATATATTGTATTGATGGTAGAAAAATAATAAATATAATACTATACAATTTGATGCTGTAATACAATACTTCTCAGGAAATATTCAGTTCTAATAAGGATGACATGTTTGTTGAGCTTTCAAAGCTCTGTGGCTGTTGTCTGTCATATTCTTCTTTCTTCTTTGGATGTTCAAATAACATGTTTCTGCCTATATACGGCCATCATCATGTATATCTTCACAAGTTGTGACACTGTGTAATTTCCCTGTTAAGGGAAGCACAGCCCTCACTCAACAGCCACAGATAACATAACTGCACAAATGTCTACAACTCCACTTGGGTAAATTAGTACACCATTACATGCACCGTCCTGGTTCTTTTGAGAGATGGTATTGTGTTTCTGATCATATTTATTACCAGTTACATAATTCAGATTCCATTCATGTAAAGTGGCTATTTGCCATATACTTACACAATGAGGTTCCACTGCATAATTGGTACTCACATATGCAAACCTGTAATGGTATTTGGGAAAACGTGGATTCTGTTGAAGGGCAGACTTATATTCTTCAAATCAAATCCACTCAACCCTGTTGCACCGACTGAAACACACAGTGTACACACCATTGAGAATTTGACAGAAATTTATAAAACATAATTATACAGGCAGCAATAACCTAAATATGTTCATCGGTATGCACACCATCTGTTTTTCCAAATTTAAATACCACACAGCAACATTGTGTCAAGTTGCCTGTTATGTCTATATGCACTTCTCTTTGCTGAACAAAAAGTCTTAACATTACTAAACTGACCATTAGTCCCCGATTTGTCCTCGAAATAAGACTTATGTCTGGGGCTGATTTTGTCCTTGATTTGTTATGAATGTATAAGAGCCTTCTTGGCCCTTGCACCGCAACCTACAGTGATCTATTGTGCTTCCTTCATTTGTTAAATAAATTAATGTAATTTGAAAAACAGGGAACCAGTATAGTTCAGTTGGTATAGCAACGGTATACGGTGTAGTCGATGGATTGAGACTGCTTACAAAGGAGCTGAACAGTGAACTTGGAAATCAGTGAGCCATATAAAGCAATGGAGGCTCTGATAACCAAAGCATTTAGTGTTATTACAATTCAGCAGAACTTTATATTCCTGCAAACTTATGTGCTATGAGATGCTACTACTTCCAGGTATTTGCAATTGATCTAGCAATACTAAGAAATTTGCCACTACGCAGCTTTGGTCATGCAGACACTTCATGATGTTACTGTGGTAGATGAAGAATTTTTACTTAACTTTAACAGTTGATTGGTAGCTGTAAATTTCTGAATGTTTAAATAACAAATGAAAATAAAAGTGGGCAATGCTATTTTGGGAATTATAGGTCCAGAAATGCCACAGTTAGAAGTCTTTATGCTGACTACCATCTTGTATGCAGTTAGTATTTCAACAAACCGATTTGGTTTGTACGTTATGGAAATCCAATGGCAAACTGACCATCTGATGATATAAAGGGTACAAACGTGACCAACACTCTATGAGTAAATAAAACTAATACTGTGTTAATACCTGTTTTTATTATACATACCAATGTTTTTCAAAATTATATCCTTCAGGTGGTTTATATAAATATATATACCATCGTTACTGAATTGACTAACAAGGATCCATGTTAGTAAATAGAAGAAAGTAAATATCCCATAGAATTTTAGGGTACAAATTCTATTCATCAACTTCTTACTGCTGCAATTACTTTGTCCACCCCCCCGTATATCGTTACTATACACAACACGAACATAAAGAAAAAGAACATGACTGTAGGCTGTATTAAGTACCATTTAAATGGGAACTACCTTCTCTGGCTTCCACTGGTGACTTTGGAATGGCAGTCTCCAAAAATTTCATGAAAAAATGGTCACTTTATACATGGTTATACATTACAATACATTGATCAGTATTGATTATCGATTAGGAGATGGCATCTAACCTGTTAACTATGATTTATAATTACATTTTGCGAATTGGCATACATTATTTATTTCAAGAAGGGTGAAAAAGGTGACACCTTAATGCTGAGCAGGCAATACTTATCTGTGTTCCCCCTTCCAACGTGTGAACCAGCTGACTGACAAGGTATTTTGTATTATCCTGTAATAAGAAATGACAACATGCTGGGGTTGCAAACATGAGGTGGGCGCAGTACTATTTGGCTTACCACTTGTGTTGGGTTCATTCAACCATCACTGGGCATTAGGGCAAAATTTGTCAGATCAAATTATTTTATATTGTTAGTTGGCATGTCACATCACTATGAATCCAATGGCAATTGAATATACCAGCCAAAAGTTGGCCTCACTTTATTTTAAATAAGAGTGTAAATAGACAGAGTAATTAGGGTAGGATGTACACAGAGAGTCATGATTCACCCTGCCACAATCTCACCCCTTCCATGACCGACCCAGGGCTATCCCAGTCCAGATGAAGGCAGAACTGACCCCAGGCAGTCAACGGCAGCTGTATGCAACGAAGAAGGACCAGAGCCAGGAGAATCCTAGCTGAGAGTAATTTAGTATTATTTTATTAGCCCCCCCCCCTTTAGGCACAACAGTTTACGTTTAGTTATTGAACTACTGATATGGGTACACACCAGTGCAACCACGGCGGCCTGGGTTCGATCCCGGGTCTGGTCAAGTGGGATTTGTGGTGGACAAAGTGGCACTGGGGAAAGTTTTCTCCAAGTACTTCGGTTTCCCCTGCCAATCTTCATTTCACCAATTGCTCCACAATCACCCTCACCTATCATCTGGGGCTGGTACAATAGGCCAGAAGTGGCCGCAGTACAAGGGACTTAGTCCCACCCCACTCAGTGCTTGAGGTGGAATGAAAATAGAACCGGGATGCCATCCCGCCGCATCCCACCCCACCTCAAGCCCTGGGTACTGTACATTGCATTTACTGCCAAAGAAGTAACGGGATGCTTTTAAGCCATTTATAAAAGAACTGGGATGCCATCCCGCTGCATCCCGCCCCACCTCAAGCCCTGACTAGCAATAAAAAAAAATACCAGTGCACTGTGTCATATTACATAACAAAAAAATTGCCTCAAGTTGGTATTACAATTAAAATAGAAGATAAAAAATAATATAAAAATGAACTATATACCACGTGTCAAAATATATTAAGTGATGTAAGTGTTGAATATATTACAAAAATATTAAAAATACTTAAACTATTAAGTATGGGAGTTTAAGAATACAGGTGTACATAATAGTCCAGGAACACTTTAAATTATTTATTGCACAAGAACTACAAATTATACAGACTTCATATACATGTCATTTTGAAGAGAAACTCTGAAAGTTTGTTTTTACCTAACAAACTTTTGATGTGGAAACCATGAGTGACTCGGCAGACCTCCACACGGTAAGCGAATTCTTTCCACACCCTTCCCAACATGGCCTCGTCAACTGTGGCTGTCGTTTCCCGGATTCTTTCCTTGAGCTCTGCTTCATCACGTGGAAAAGGCGGTACATACACCAGATCTTTAATGTGTCCCCATAGAAAAAGTCACACGGAGTGATATCTGGCGATCGTGGAGGCCGTTCCATGAAACATCTGTCCCCTCATGCAGCACGTCCGAACAATTGCTGGGGCAGCTCCGTATTCAGGTATTCACAAACTTCATCATGAAAATGGGGTGGAGCTTCATTAGGGGCATTTGGAATTCACGGCATGCTCGACGCACCGATTTCTTCGGACTCCTCATGAATGTCTCTTACATGCTCTGATCCTCTTCACTCATACCGGGTCGTCCACTCTTCTTTTCTGGGTACAAGCAACCTGTAGCCATGAATTTCTTGTGCCAGTGGTAAATTGCCTTTCTCGTTGGTGGGTTTTTACCATACTTGGTCCTAAACTTTCGTTGCACATGTGTAGCACACTTGTTTTTGTCGAATTCTAACACGCATCAAGCCTTCTTCGCACCTGAAGTCGCCATGTTTGCAACTAACGCTGACTATCGGCAAATGACAGAATTACACGCATTGGCGGAACATAATGACACGTATATGATGTCTATAAAATTTGTAGTTCTTGTGCAAGAAATAATCTAAAGTGTTCCCAGACTTTATGTACACCCTGTATATATGCCAAATGAATTCTAAGGTTCCAATGCTACAGTGTAGAACTGGGCATGTTATGCATGTTATGTCATTTGTAGATATTTGTTGTTAGAAGCTTTCTACATAGTAAGTTCGGTCGTGGAGCCCAGAAACAAGTTTCTATTTGCAAGAATGAATATGATGTACAGGTTGTTAATGTGTTATGTATTAGGTGTGCATATTTCCGACATGTGTCACTATATGGTCATAAAATATGACGTATGCGTTTTTGTCTGGGTGTATATATGTTCGATCTGTTCTACCTGTGCATTGGTTCCATGTAGACCTACATCACACATGTCATACTTTATGATCATATAGTGACACATATCTAAAATATGCAGACCTAATATATCATACATTAACAACCCGTACATCATAGAAACTTGTCTATGGCCTATACGACCAAGCTTACTACATAGAAAGCTTCTAACAACAATGATATACAAGTGACATAACACACCCAATTCTACACTGCAGCATTTGAACCTTAGAATTAATTTGGCATACATATTCTTAACCTCCCATATTTAATAGTTTAAATATTTAAGTATTTTTAATATTTCTGTAATATATTGAACACTTACATTACTTCATATATCTTGACAAATGGTACATATTTAATTTTATATTTTATCTTCTATTTTTAATTGTAATACTTACCAACTTGAGGCAAATTTTTTCTGTTATTATATAATATGACACAATATGACATGTTGCACTGGTAAGGATCCATATTGGTAGTTCAATAACTAAATGTACTTCTATATTAACTGCCTGATGATGGTCTTGTATGACCAAAACATGTAGCAGGAATTAAGCGTCTAATTGTAA